TTTTTCATAGAAAAATTTAATTATAACAACAACCCTGACGTAATTATTAAGTGTACAACTTTGATTCCACCGTTTCGAATGTTTGAAACGTACACCTAATAATTTTTCGAATGTTTTTTACTTTTACAGCTTTTAGTAAAAATTGTCAAAGATGTACACCAAGAGAGGAAGAAAGTTCATATAAATTGGGTGTAGAAACTATACAAGAGCATTGTGGACATAAGTGAGTTATGCTGTAATCTCTTAAAACATAATTCAACTTGTTTAAATATTTGACGTAACAACCGATTATTTCAAAATTTATCCGTGTGTGTTTGATTTTTACGAAAATTTACAAGGGAGTCGAAACTCTTTGCTTGTAGTGTATGTACGCATATAAATATGTATGCAAAAATGTATGCAGAAATGTATATATATATACATGTGTGTACGAGAAGAAAAGAATTAGAATATGAATAGAAAGTTTGACCCAATCAAAAGACAAATGTGTGAATGAACGTGACACAAATTTCGTTGATTTAATAAAGTTACATATAATCGATAATAATTTTGTCTATTTCTTATAGATCACAACGAGGATATAATTTTATTGAATATTCGATTTATAAGATTGTCCAATAAGTTCGTGCGATTATTTTTTTTTCTAAATAAATACACGACGAAAGAAATCGCATTGAATTATTGGCAAACCTAATAATATGCAATCGATAATTTTAGTATTTCTTATAGATCGCCGATAAGAAGACAATTTTATTGTTTTAATAAAAAGGTTTCTGTTTTTTTTTTCTTAAATTATCTATTTACAGTGAAACAAAGGGAGAAAGAGAAAGAGAGAGAGAGAGAGACGTGTGTGTATCCGTAAAAGATTCCAAGGAAGTTGCATTAAGGTCGAGGGTCGTTAAAAGAACCATTAGCGGACTAAAAAGGATTGCAATAACGTCCGAAAGATTAGAATCTATTCTATTTCGTATGATTAAGGATATCTTTGTTTTTTTTTTTCTTTTTTTTTTAACTCGAGAACAATTACAAACAAAATCTTGTTATCAATCTTCGACGAATTATTTTGTAAAAAGTCTTTTTTTTTTTTTTTTTTTAATTTCGAAAAGGAGAGAGAGAGAGAGAGAGAAAGAGTAAAATAATATTGTACTGCGTAAAAAGACTTAGAGTAGATGCAATAATCTAACGTAAATATCTAATTGTAAGTAATACATAATATTCTCTATGTACAATATATAGATATATGGGTAAGCGGTTAAAGCCAATATGGTGACGCAATTATATTTGATCATTCTATAGATATTACCTTTTCTACGAAGAGAAAAAGAGAAAGAGAGAAGATAATACTTAAAGGATTGCATCAGTGGCCATCGTTGAAGTATTATACGTTCAGGTATTATAGGTATACCTATACCTTGCGCGTACTTATAACCTTTTCGTGTAAGCGAGTTTTAAACGGATGGTACAATCTTTTTTTTCTTCTTCTTCTTTTTTTTTATACTTTTTCTTTCCCTTTAATAATAATAATAATAATAATGATACACCAATAAATTCAATGATTTTCATGAATTTCGAACTACTCAAGGATCAACACCGCATTTTTTAATTCAGGAATGTCAAGGACATTTGTTGGTTTTTATTTACGACAAATAGAGATACATTAGTGTGTTTTTGATTAGAAAATTAATATTAAAATCATTTCGTGAAAAATGATTTTTTCAAATGGAAATTTAAATTAAAATATTCTTACACGCGTGTTAAAAAAAAAAAAAGACAAATCTCGAATAATTATTATTTTATTTTATTTTTATTGTGGTTATACATATATCCTACGTATATAAGTTGAGAAATGATGAGATTTCTAGAAAAATTTTCTTCCTCGTTTGTTTCTTCTTCTTTTATTTTAAAAAAATTGTGAGCAATCAGAAGGAAAGAAGAAGGTAGTCAACTAACGTAGGATCCATCGATCATAATCGAAAAAAAAGAACGAATAACATTTTCATTTTCGCGAGACCGTCTAGAACGATCAGAAAAATTGTTCAGATTTTATTGGGAACGTTCACGTAGGTGAACTCTCTGCAAAGATGACCTGCATTCGTATGTACATACGTGAGCTTTGGTATTCCATATGGCGAACCTTATAAGCAGTGAATTCAGATCTCGCGAAGGTCTGGTGTCCGTGCATTAATCTTACCAACGAGAATTCTCTTACGGCATAACGGATGCACGATAGTGAGTCAAGAACATCTCACGGTTCCTAAGAAAGACTTCCACGTGGTTTCTTTTTTTTTTTTTTTATTTCGATGGATCCAACAATCGACGAAAAAAAAAATATATATATATATATATATGTAGATATATATTTTCATCGATATTGCAAATCTGACGTATCGGATCGTTCAATAAGAATTTTTCGAATGTTCGGTTAAAAAATATTTAAATGAATAATAATTTTGGATATTTTATATCTAAAACATTGATCAATCTAACGTTGAGAGAAAATTTGTTCGATAATTGTCTCATTAATCAATTTATTACTTTCAATTAACAGTATTGATTATTTTTTTTAGAAAAGTTGAGGAAAAGTTAAGAGATATTATATAGTTAGAGGTATACGATCGGTCACGTAGTATACACACGCCGATTAGGTTAACTAATTTCTTCGAACATATCTCAACTCGCGCACTATGATGCAGCAAATATTCAAACTCGTGGAGTAATTCGTTATGATTCCTTAACAGTTGGAGTAAATCTACGTGGTAAGTTCGTCAGATTAACATTGCGACGACACAGTTGAGTATGTTACCTTGTTAGGTACTTTCACATGTGATATTTATTCGCACATCCTTTGTGTACATTGCCCGTATTACGTAAATTCAGCTAATTAAAAGACCAAACATATTCGCGTTAACTTTACTAACCATACTTTGTTTCAAAGGGGTAATTAGATTGCATTTCTATCCCGTGTTGAATAGACTTTTTGGCATTTATTTATCTTTTCGATTTGCTTGTTATTTTTTTTTTTGTTTTTATACGTTCGTCGAATATCATCTCGGATCCCTGAAACCATTTGAAAATGTACGTTTTAATATTATTTATAATATATCAATAAAAAGGTAGGAGGATATTTTATTCCATGCCAAATGTCATCGTGGAAGACAATTTTTCAATCTTATCGATGACGCACGTGTTCGTGAATCACACAGGATAAACTTCGAACGTTTGCCTTCTAACTTCGAGAGTAACTGGCATTCCTTCGTTAATGCTATTTATTATCATACCAAGTACTTATTTGATTTTTTTTATTTTTTTTTTTTTTTTTTACTCAGATAATAATGAGTGAAAATTATTATCACCGATTATTGTACTTGCAATTATGTTTATCGTTTGATCGTTAAATACTACGAATACCTAATAGACATTTAAATGATTATAATCGTAACGAATTATTAAGGAAATCAATGCTAACTTCCGATCATTTAAGAAACTTTGATATTTATTGATATAACAATAAAAAAGAAGAGAGAGAGAGAGAGAGAGAGAAAACACACAAAATGATGAAAAATCCCATAGATTAATGTGAAACATTTGTGTAGATGTTTAAAGAACACCTTATTTACCTTAGACGAAGAAAAAAAAAATTTATCGCGAATACATGAATAACCAGTATTTTATCCAAGATCTTTTACATTCCAATGGATTTTTATTATTATTAATCGTTAATTATAAGATGCATGGACGGCATTTTTTTAATAAGAAGGCCGACCTAACGTGTCAACGATGATTAAGACATGTTCGATTGCGAGGTAAAAGTTTCAACAACTTTGAACAACGGTAAAAGATAAATTTAAACATCGAATTTTATAGTATCGATTAAAACTATAGTTCTGTAATCGTTAGAATAAAGAACGATACGTTAGTAAACGAATATTAGTAGCAATTACGATCTAATACGTGACTCGTTGCGGTTATTATGGCGTAGTATTGTCTGACGATAAGAACAAATCTAGCATTTAATGGGCTGATTATTTATGCATGGCAAAACGAATCAGCGACAGTTAAAGCAAAAGCTCGTCCCGTTTACCGCACGATTATCACCGAATAAGGACGTTTAAACGTTACAATCGTTCAATTGAAAATAATTCATTGGATAGATACCCCATCTCAGATAAAGTATTTACATTGGCTCTATATGGGAAATACTTTTGATTACAGATCATTGATTATGATCAAAAATAAAAAAAAAACAAAAGAAAAACACCCTAAAGAACGTTCAGATTGTATTAGTGAGCCAATTAATATTCAAATAAACTAATTAAATATATATATAGGATTTTAACGAAAAAAAAAGTCACACGAATATGAAGGGATTAAAAAAAAAAAGAAAGTAAGATATAAGAGAGTGGCAAAGGGGGGGGGGAAACTCGGTAAAGAAATTATGACAATTGAGTAAGCATCCTTAAACGGGGACCCGATGACATTTAGCACAGAGTGCGACATAGTGATCCCCACGATGGTAGCTTAGTGATGTACGGTGTGTCGTCGTCCTCCCTCTCCCCCTCCTCCTCCTCCTCCTCCTTCTTCTTCTCCTCCTTCTACTCTTTCATCTTATTCCAACCATCTTTGTTAATGTTCAACGTATTGACGACAACGACGACAACGAAGAGACAAAGATACGACGACACTCATCTATGGAAAAAAGAGATGCATATAGTGCCGATGCAGATGAATGCATGAAAATGTGCAAGATAGAGAAAGAGAGAAAGAAAGAGAGAGAGAGTGAGAGAGTAAGGGGGAGAGAAAAGGAAGGAAGGTGCATTAAGCACGCATGCATCAGGCGCCAAGAACGTTTAAACGAAGATCCGTGTGTAACCCCCTTTCTGTTGTGTCCATCTGTTCCTCCTTAACACCCCCCTCCCCTCCCACCCCTCCCATAAATCTCTGCCATTCTTTCTGTCTTTCATTCTCTTACTTAATCTCTCTATCTTTTTCTCTCTTACTCTTTACATGCATGTCCCATGTGCATCTCCCCAGTAACATGGTGGCCCATCGTTACCGCGGAAACGGTGGTGTATTGGTGATGCCTCCAGGGGTATATATACACCGAGCGCTGCGGGGCTTGATAAACACTTGCCCATCTGCGATTACTGCTGCAGCATGTATACGTCATTGGTAAGCGTTTATAAGTTACGACAAGTCGCAAAAGAGATTTATCAAAAAAGCGGAAGTTAGAAATGAAAAAAAAAAAAAAAGGGATAATATCCGGTGAAAATCGAGCCGCGAGATACGATTGGGGAAAATTTAAAGAGGGTTTACCGTGTTGTCGAGGATTTACCATCGATATCGATACCAATCGATGGTGTTTCGTTATATTTATTAATTACGGGTGTTGCGTGATTCTTCGTATCGTATTGTGCCGCCCACGCATCGTATCGAACAAGTTCTTCTTGATAATAAATAAATAAATAAATAAATAAAGTGATTATTATAATATTTCTTTGAGATATTTTTGGTTTGATACTTTTAATTATACGAGGGTGGTGTTATTATTGTGACGGTAAGTAGTGGATTGGTCTATAAACGAGAGACCATTTTCCAACCATTCGGATTGTTGTCTACTACTACTACTACTGCTACTGCAAGGATTTTTAATGGCATACTTTTTTTTGTTTTGAACATTTTTTTTATTTCGAATGGATGTATCCTACCGCGATTTTTTTCTTTCTTTTATTACATACATTCTTATATATTCGGTAAATAAGTTAAATTTTATTTAGAGTTTGTGAATTCGCGTTTCGAGTTATATATATATATATATATATATATATAGGAAATACATACATATTGAAACATTGTTCGCGTAAGTACATCTGTTGTCAAAACGGATGGTGGTTAAAGCGGTTACACGCAACGTTTAATTCGTACATAGGCGAAAGGATAGTTAAGCGCGGCGCGTATATGAAATATGGTCTGACCTAATAACTCGCTCGGACTTACTACTACTGCCGCGGCTGACTCGAAACGGTTTAACCACTGAAAGCAGAGCTCTATCTCTATCTCTCTCTCTCTCTCTCTCTCTCTCTCTTTCTCTCTCGGCAGACTTTTGGATAACCATTATAGCGACACGTTATCGAAATTGCCCATTTCCATCGCGTATTTTGATTTTAAAATAACCATTAACACGTCCTTTTATTTTTCCCTCTCTTTTCACAATATTATCATTTTTATCAGATAAATTATATTAACTTTCAAATGTGAAATACGATTTAATTATTCGTTAAAGTTTGAACGCTACTCTTCGGTGATTAAAAAAAAAAGAAAAAAGCCACAAAAAAATATTATAAAAGTATGGGGGAAAAAAAAAAAAAGGGATAAACGTTGAATCATTCGTTTCGATATTTGATTTGAATTTACTTTAAACAGGTAGCCATCATTACATTGGCAGCATACGCTGCGGCAGCTCCAGCTCCGGCGGATGAGCCAATACCAATCGTAAGCCAAAGTCAAGAGGGTCCGAATCCGGATGGATCGTACAAATGGAGTTACGAGAGCGGAAACGGCATCAAGGCCGAAGAAGAAGGACAGGTTAAGAACGCTGGCTCAGAGACCGAAGCTATGGAAGCTAAAGGTGCATTCAGTTATCCGAGCGATGACGGCCAACAAATATCTTTGACTTACACCGCCGATGAAAATGGATTCCAACCGGTTGGCGCGCATTTACCGGTACCACCGGAAGTTCCAGTTCTCATACAGAAAGCTTTGGAATGGATAGCAGCACATCCATCCAAGGAGGATGAGAACAATCGTGTTTAAATAATCAACGACTCTATCGGACGACCATTTTGTTTTTTTTTTTTACCGGCAGTGTGATCTCACTAAGCTATCCGCCCCCCGCCCACGCCCCCGCCTTTCTATTTTTGTTTATATTTTTTATTCGTATAAATATTTTCTTTTTCTCGCGATAATATCGAAAGAATTGATTTAAATTAATCGAAGATCCTATCTATCTATCTATCTCCCTCTTAGCTCGATGATAAGTTTTCAAATCCGTTCACTTGACGTCGCCGTCTCGCCGCAATTATGTTCGCATTGTTTCCTATTCTATTTTATTTTCTTTATTTTATTTCTTTCTTTCTTTCTTTTTCTCTCTCTTTCTCTCTCTCTCTCTCTTGTTGTCTTATTATTATTTTTCCTTCTTACACTTTCTTTTTTTGTATTACCTATTTTAAACTCTTCTTGACGTCCGATTACGAACATGGACTATATTATACTCTGGTTCAATTTGTTGTAAATATTTATTTGTACTTGTCTATATGCGCGATATTATTATATATATATATAAATATATGTGCAAAAAATATGCATACTTATATATATATATATATATTTTATATGTATAAACACACTTATATACATGCATACACACACATACATAAAAGAGATACTTATATTATACATATAAATATATATCTACTTTATAGCAAACCGATGTAATTAACAGTCGTTAAGCATATCAAAGTGCATTTGAGAATAAATGTTGCATCCCAGGAGAAATGTTGTCGGTTCCTTCTCACTCTCTCTCTTTCTCTCTCTCTCTTTTTATCTTACGACCTTGCTTTAATACGACACGACATAGGAAATTATACGGTTTTCCTTGTTCGACAATTAATTTGAATATTGTCTAACAATAAGAGAAATCTCTAGACTTTCACGAGAGAGTCGATCTTTTCTAAATCGATATTTGAATTATGATCCATTCATAATAATGCGTCGTCCTACGTCGTGATCTACTTTCTATACATTGGTTGATTAAAAACACGTCGATCGTTTACCACACTTCAATTCTCAATTATTTTTTCCAACATGTTAAACAAAATCTAATGCGAAGGGATAAAAATGAAAAGGTTTTATCAAATGTTAATTATTCAGAGTCATGCGATAAACAATAATCTACGTGTTATTAAAATTAAACAAGAAGAAAAATAAAAACGAACGATAAAACAATCTATAGAAATAACAGACACGCGTGTAATTTTAATTTCGTATATTAGAAAGTTTAAAAGTATAGATGAACGAAAGAGAGAGAGAGAGAGAGAGGACGTAGAAAAATATTGTTTTGTTTTTCATTATGAACCTTGCACGATTGTCATTAATCAATCAAGCGGACGTATCGTACGTATAAGAACTCTCGAAGAAATTACGTCATTTGCAAATTACTCGTGCCATAAGGAAAGCGTTTTATTCCGCAGTTTTATATTATTCTTTTATTATTATCTTCTATCTTGTGTTCAACTCTAGTCAAGGATTTTTAATACGTTGAATCGACGAAAGACGATCGTGTAACCTTTCGTCTTACGTGTCTCATTGATGATGATCCAACCTATCGCGAGTGGTTTCTTGTCTTCTAAGCTTTCTAACAATAACGCGTTACCCGATGTTTGTACGAGCGAGAGTGTCTACTCAATTTGACATGGCTGATGTCAAATGCACACGCCTCCTTTAAGGGGTTAAGGAACCGGAACTCGAGATCATATCTTTCCTAAACTTTCACCGATGAAATCAACCAACCAACCAACCAAACAACACGATCATCCTATAACCGTCGAGATTTTATTTAATACGAATATTATTCATTTGTTTAATCTTATAAGTTTTAGATTTTATGCAATTGATTGACATTTTACTTTCCACGATGAAACGTATCGGGAAGTTATACTCACGAGTGTCGGGGTGGAATCTGGATCAATTCAATTTTCATCGATTTCGATTTTTAATATTTTGACGTACTGTATATATATATATATTTTGTTGCTATGATGTAAATGAAAGAGAAATGAAATACATTGGAATTCAATTAAGTTAAAAATCAAATTTATGAAAATATTTAATAATTGGAATATATATTGAAATAATTTTTCTATTTTTTTTTTAATTTTAGGTTTCGAAATGAAAAATACTCATATATCACGGATGGAAATGAAAAAGGAATATTCGATTGAACGGTAAACGTTGTTGTTGTAATCGACAGCTGTTAAGGTAAAGAATTCACTATCGTTTGTTTATTATGCGTTAACTATTGCTTATTAATTATTGGTTAGGTGTCTGGTATACGTGTCTTGCATACTTTCAACATTTCGTTCGTTCTTCCAAGTTATTTTATTCTATATGTGTATATGTGTGTTTGAGTTTTATGAACATATATATAAAAAATAAAGTAAACAGGTACAAGTATATTCGCTTTCACTGACTTCTTCATTTGAGAAAAACACTTTGTCATCTTTAGCATTCATAATGACGTTCCATGACATGATCCAAGTTTTGTTTACACGCGTAAAGATATTTTTGTCACGTATACCATAGATGCATGCTACTGCAAACGAAGGAATGACGATGATGACAGCTAACGATCCCTAATTAACTACTACTTCGAAGGTATTTTCTTAATGCGACGCTTGTGCAACATATATTTATAAATAATGAATATTTATGTATGCGTAAGTGTTAAATATTTTTCTCTTTATTTTAATTTATTTTTTACTTTTTTACAGAAGTAAACCTGTCGACCTAAAAATTATGAAAATTTCATTTCATTTCTTATAACGAATATAATGGAAATGTTGTGCAATAACAAAAGTTGCTATGGCTTGAGTGAAATTAATTTCTTGGATAAACAATTATGAAAAATTAATTATTTATCTTCATATATTATAGGAATCGTGTGAATATTTGAAATGAAAATGAAACAGAACGTTTACCATAGACCAGAAAAAAAAAAACAATCAACGTTTTCGTTGACAGTAATCCCACGTACGAATTCGAAATAAATAACGAGCAGAAATAGAAACGTGAGAAATGGTGGTAGAAAAAAAAATATTACATAGAAAGAGAAAGAGAGAGAGAGAGAGAGAGAGAGAGAATGAAATAATCCTATCTTAAAACGGGATTAATGGTAGACGAATTCATTAAAGAGTGAATAATGAAGGTTATGCAGTCTGCTCGACTATTGAAATTCCTTTCTCCTTTGATTCCGCTATTTAATATTGCCCATTAAATCTATGTCGGTCGTAAATCTTTGACCGGGATAGCAACGAAGATTGGTGCGAAAGTCATCCCATTAATTAATACGTCCCTAGTTTTCTTAGAAATTAAAATAATCGAGTCCAGAAGGGTGGGTGTGGGTTAGAGGGTGGTTACGAGTTTAATACAAAAAGAAATAAAAATGAGAACCGATCGGAGAGTACTATACTGTAATTGTTAATTTCTATTATTTTTATTTTTTATGAATTTCAATCCAACTTTTTCATAATAATAATAATAACAATAATAAAGAGTAGACGAACGTTTAAAGTTTATTTTTGGAATCCTCTTTGTAGGGGTTAGCAGCTATCCAATCAAGAGCACGTTGAATGGCAGCAGGAATTGCTTGAGGTGGAGGTGGAGTTGGTAAATGAGAACCTTCGAAAACGGCACCATTTTCGTTAGCAAGCCATCCAAGATTGATTTTCGTACCATCGGGAGCAGTCCAAGCAGCTGATCCTTGAACTTCCTCGGCTTCGTCCTTCTGACCGATATTCTTCAGATTACCGTGTTCCTCTACGGTTATACCATTAGCGGTTTCCCATTTTGCATGGAAACTACCATCCGGGTTGATCTCTTGCGATTGACTGACAATGGCTATCGGTTCGTTTGGATTGGCTGCCATTGTCATTGTCATTGCTAGCATACTCAATAGGATAATTTTGTTGGTTGCCATTTTGTATCTAAAATTGATGAGTTCACATGAATTTTCTTTCTTTTTTTTTATATTAGAATAAATCGTTTTTAATTGCATAAACGATAGTTAATTGTTGACAATTTTTATTATCGACGATAGAATAGATTTTAACGATAGTTATTATTTATGATTGACATAAATCAACGTTTATATCTGATAATTAGGAAATAATTAAAATTGTTAATTGTGATTAATGTGCGATTTGAAAATGTCGAAGTTGATGTTTATCGTACGTATAGGGAAATGAATTATTGGTGATACTTAAGAGATACCTTTTGTATACGACTTCACTTGAATTTCGTTTGGACACCATAGGTTGGACGTTACTGACGATGATTTAACCGCAGAGCCCACCTTTTATATACATTGAACCTACCCGTGTCGACATATTGCGCCAAATGTCATTCGATGATACCGGTTCATGTTTTGCTTGACCAGTATTGAATACATCTTTCTAATCGATGAAAATTTTCTCTTTTATTTAACGAAGAATTCTTACCGTTTGTGATCGCTTACGGCCATAATCGTACAATTAAACTTTCAATATATAATACGTTAATTTATTAACAATCATTTATTTATATTTATATTAGAGAACAACAATTACATATATAATATATTTTTAATAGATGGAACTACTTATAAAATGTGCGTATAAATATATATATATATATATACCTATGCCTAAGATGTTTGTAACGTTTATGCATAATTATTTGATTTAATTGAATGACAAGGATTTTTATGATTTATAATATACTACGAGAAAAGAAGAAAGAAAAACAAAAAAAAAACAACGCGTATAGACGAAAGCAGTAGTAGTAGAGATGTCTGCGTAGAAATAAAATTAATATAAAATAGCGATTTATTATGTATGATAATGAATTATTAATTTTAGCGACAGCTTTGAAAGATAATATTAGAGATTTTTCATTTTTTTTTTTTCTTTTTTTTTCTTTTTGTATTTAACATTTGTTTTCATAGTACAGTTATCGGTTTCAATGACACGGCTTTAAAAGGTGCTACGTAGTTTTTGCTAAATAGCATCATATGTGAAAGTACTGGATTATCTATAAAGACAGTTTGCGAGTTCTAAGTGTTACTTTAAAACGAGAATTAATCCAAGACAGAGAAAGAGAGTGAGAGAGAGAGATGATTGCTTTGTTATCATTAAAAATTCACAGTTTATAATTACTCTTAATTACTATAACAGATAATCTTAGAATAAAACGATACTCACGAATTAACATAAATCTTAATATGTTAATAACACGATTGATAACGCATTTTCATAAACATTATTTTATGAATAATAATCTTTCATTCGATTTAGCAATAAATAAATAAACTAATCGAGTGAAATCTTGATGATGATCAATAACATTGGATGATCAAAGCTCGATCGTATTCACTGCGAAAAGTGATCGATTCTAACAAAGATTTTTTTTCTATTATTTCGATTATCGTTTCCTGACGAATGAGTGTTACGTCATTTCCGTGGGAGTGAATTACGTATTGCGAAAAGTGTCATCGGAATATAATAGTATATTTTAACATTTGACATTCTTCTTGCGGTAATGTTTTAATAACATAAAGGTAAAAAGATATACGTATGTCAGAAAGAAAGGTTCATTGGTACGAGAAAATCATACGTGCATAATCGATCCCCATCATGCTATTCACGAGTTGCTAGTTTCTTACCCGAGTAGAAAGCTCGTAATTAAGACATTTAACGATCTTGCTAATATATTTAACAAAAAATATTCTCGTAATTATATGTATGTATGTATGTGTGTGTATACACAGCGTTCATTGGCTTCTAATAAAGCATACAATTCTACGTACATTCTTACGAAATGTGAATCATATTGTATAGTTTGTAATTTTTGATCTTTTTTTATTTAACATTCGCGTTTGTAATTTATTTTATCGATTTTATCGGCCGAACCGCGTATGCATTCTCGTTGTTGTTCGACGATTGATGTGGGCTTATATAATTTTATTGGTAAACTTTCTATATTTTTGTTGTTTCCTTGACAAAATTTCTATTATTTTTTTTCGTTCGAAATGTGTTACTCCTCTCAAAATTTCTCTTGTAGATACTTTTAATTTATAAAACAGAGACGATCGTTAGGTTTGAAAATCTTGGATTAATAATAAATATTTAAAGGAGCTTATAACCAATTAATCAGTTTGAAAAAAGAAAGAAAAGAAAAAAAAAAGGTGTTTTTAAAAAAGAAGGAACAATAATAATAGGGGGAGGGGGGAAAGATTGACGATGGATTAATGAAATTTTGTTGATATATCGTAAAGAGTTGTTTGTTTATAAATTGTTTCTGTTTTTTTTTGTATTTTAAATAAACAAATGACAAAGTATATTTTTTTTTTACAGTATAAATCGACAAGAAAGTTTTTCTCTTTGAAAGTGTTTGTATCGTCTATCAGTAAAGTGAAAATAATATGATAACGTAGTAGATAATGAGATTTTATTTGAATGAATTGTACTATTATGAGAGGAAGAGGAATCAGGAAATAGCAAATTGTCGTATCTCATAAATATCAAATCGATTAATTTACTTATGTAATCGAGTTATGCTCGTCGATATTTAATAAGTATTTTACACCGATCGTACGTATTTTACTTTCACTGTATAAATCTTCTTCAAAATAAGTTAGACGAAATAATAAATTGGTAAATGCATTTAATATAAACAGAATTGAGAAATATAGAAATAAATTCATGTTTTAGTATCGAAACAAAAAAATAATTAAATATCAAAGATTATTCTTTATAAATGGTGTGCGATAAAGGACGACGACTTCATGGGGAAAAGAAAAAAAAAAAGAAAATAAAACTACGATTTCTAAAAGTATCAATCGATCTATAACATTATTTCTTATAATACTGATCATTGATTAATTCGAGTACCAAAGATTGCACTTAAAGTTTATGTCAAGAATAACGTTGAACGACTTCAAATTTATATCGAATTCGGTTTAACTCGAACGTATGGTCTGAAACGAAATCAATAAATCAAAGTCGTTGTTGATTGCCTCCATAGATTCCAATGAAATTTTTACTCAAACCTATATGTGTTTCTAATTAAAAACAAAAAATTAATAAAAAAAAAACAGATTTTGTATTACAAGAAACATCCTCGATAAATTTTATATTTAAAATCAAACAAAAAAAAAAAGAAAAACAAAACATTTAACATCCTTAGAAAAAGATTTTGATAACCAACACTTGAATAACACTCTTAATACAAAGATTCAATTATAGTAATCAGTCGTCTTATGATATTTTAATGCTCAAGAACTTAAGGAAAAAAAAAAAGAAGAAGTAGAAGAATGTGTGGGAAAAATAATTACAAGGTACACCATAGTTTGTTTTTTTTGTTTTAAGCATTTAATAATTGCCATTTGCACATAGTGAATTACATGAACATTTTATACTGTTAACTGCCGTCATTTAAGAATAGGTGGCGGTAAAAAGAGGGGTTGGGGTAGTGTTGGTATAGTTGGTTAGGGTTGAATTAGCGTGAACGATAGAAATTTGGATAAACTCGGTCGGATTTCGGCAGAATGTATTCTTTTTATTTATATACAGAAATCACAAGTTAAGTGTATATATATTTATATATATTATATATAATAATCTATATACTAAGCACGGTGGATCGGTGCACTGCACCAATGACGAAACGCGCAGAAGGGAATTGCCGCCGCGTGTTCGTATTTTTTCAAGCAACTCGATAAACATTTATTCGTCTGAATTGCTTTACGGTGCGTTGTTATTTGTAGAAATGGATTTTCATTCTTTACTTTACTTTACTTTACTTATATCGTTTCTTTTTCTTTTTCTTTTTTCTTTTTTTGTTTTTTTTTGTTTTTTCAATTTTTCCTAGTTAATTTTTGTTTTCATCTTCATACCTCTTATACAAATAAAAAAAATCTAACATAATATCGCGGAAGTATATAGTTATTATATACCGGTCTTGAAATGCCTTTTGCTTTCGGTTACGTGTATCCTAGATTAATATACTAAACTATATTTCTTTTTATGGTTTGCGTCGGTAGCACGGGGTCGGTTCTATCCATGGCAAGCTGGCTTGGAATCAGGTCACATTTGAGGTAAAGTTTGGCTGTTTAACCTGTAAGAGAAAAATTAACGGAGAGTTTGAAAAAAGAAAAAAAAGAAAAAGAAGGAACAATAATAATAATAGGGGAGGGAAAAAAAAAGATTGACGATGGATTAATGAAATTTTGTTGATATATCGTAAAGAGCGATCTTCTCATTAATTTAGGTAGAGGAAGAAATCGAAAGAGACAGAGTTAGGTTAACCGAGGTCGTGGTAAGTAAGATTCCTAAAGGAATCAATCGTTTTCAAAGGCTATTGAACAGGAAGGTAATGGGAAACAAACGGAATGGGGAATCGAAGAAAGCCACTGTAAAGTAGTTAGCATCGATCAGAGACCGAGTTGAGATTTGGGTTGTACCCTTTTAAACGAGCACCCAATGAAAAACAACCGCCAAATGACAAAGAAGGAACGTTAAGGGATAGTACGTGTTTCCGAATAGTTTAATTCTCTAGAGATAAAGAGAAAGAAAAAGATTACCTCTCGGGCTCGGTCTGCCTTGACCATCAGAGTCCTCCTCGGGGTGAGCCGCGTTCCATTCGAGCGCCCTTTGGATCTCAGGAGGGATTGGAGGTGCCGTTGGGATATGCGAACCTTGAACCTGGAATCCATTTTCATCAGCGACGTACGTTATGCTAACCTGTTGTCCATCTGGGGCCGTGTAACTGTCCGAACCCTGGGAGACTACTGGAGTCTCGTTGTCGACTTGTTTTGGTTGACCGGATTCTTGATGGCTGATGCCGTTGCTAGTTTCGAAGCTGGACAAATGTTAACAAAAAATATTGAATAAATTGTGATATATACGATATTAAAATAAAAACTTGTTAAATCTATAAAGAAAAATTTAGAAATATATATCTCGCGTATATTTGGAATCGTATGCAGCCAGGACAAGTAACGCGACCTACTCGCGAATAACAATGCTCCTAGTATTGTGCAGTATTTCGAACAAAAAGGAATAAAATAAAGAGAGAGAGAGAGATAGAAAATAACAACAAAAAGGATCGTCGTCGTCGTCATCGTCGTCGTCGTCTGCGTGGGCGAGAATCATGCGCGTCCGCGTGTGAACGGCCGAACGTCATTAGGCAGGTACTACTTACTTTCTTGTCTTTTGCCCATTGTAACTTTTCTCTTGTATGCTAATGGGAAACCGCATTTAACGTTATGCCTTTGCGGATACCGACCACCAGTTGGAAACTACCGGCGTTCGTCCATGCGAAATAGGACTCCGTATCTATTATTATCTTTCATGATCTTTCGATCGATGTCTATCGATTTCCCCCTGAGATCCGATCGAACAAATATTCCGTCGATTGTATTTTTTCATCCTTTCGTTTTAACTATATTTCTTTTTTTTTTTTCCTTCAAATACACAAGACAATTTATCGTTTATTTGAATAATTCGAATTAACGCGAAAATATTATTAGAAATGAAAGGAGTGTTTTTAATCGAGTGTGTTTTAAAAAAAAAGGGGTGCTGGTATGTTTGTTCGAAAAGTGAAAGGCTTGCGTGACAACTTATGAACATTATTGAACATAACGCGTAGATATTGACAGAACAATTTCTCTTATCCTCGTTTTAAGAAGTTGTTTCGATTTGAACGTTTAAAATCGTGTACGTCGACTTACTTATTTACGTAATTCCCATCGAAATTGACTTCGAGTTGTTGAGACGTAATCACCGCATCCTTGTCAGCACCACCCGATGGTCGTTGAGGTGCGCCAAATGTTCCTGCCGTACAGAGTACGAGACTCACCAACACCTGTAATATAAACATTCGTATTCTTTTATTCAAACAGTTACATCTACTTTTATCATCCGAACATTTGCGTTTTTTATTATTTTCATATTTTCAATAGACGAATTATGCGAATAATAAATGCTAATTCACGTAATAACGCGATGCGATGAATATTATTCGATATAAAGAACTTAATGTGTATAAAGAACGAAGGTGTGTGCTTAGAAATTGTTTAACGAAAAAAAAAAAAAAACACAAAGGAAATATTAGACAAGTGTGTTTTGGAATGAATAGGATATCGAATAATCGTAACATTCGACGTCACTTTTAAATTTAAATTTTCCACCTGGGTCGAATTAGTAAACTCGATTGAAACGAACAAATTGACGACCGTTGTTTGTTCGTCGATGGTGTATTCCCAGAGAGAAAGAAACAAAAGGCCGCCGTATTGAAAATACCTTTTGTAATGGCTTTCGGGTACGCTCAAATATTCATAGAATTCGTGAAAGTAACGACCGCGCGTGGCATGGCGTGGCACGGTGGAACGTGTCTGCAAAAGGGCAACTGAAGATGATAATGCTTAGAAAGAAGAAGAGAGAGAGAGAGAGAGAGAGAAAGATACAATAGATACGGAGAGATAGAAAGAGACTGCACCGAGAGAGTGCACAGTTACGTCATTGCAAATGACATTATGAAATATACAACGTAATGCCAAGACAAAAGTGGTACCAAGTGTACGCAAAAGTAGGTGCATATTTTTTCCTTTAATACACTCTCCCTCGTAGAAATAAAACGAGTATACGTAATTTTCTTCATTTTAATGATGAAAGAAACGTTGATCTATCTCTCTCTCTGTGTTTATTTCATTTGATCATTTTATTTTATTTTCGTATTAAACAAAATTCGTCAATTTTAATATATATTTAACATATTAATATATAATATAATTGAATTTCAACAAAAGTACATAGACATTTTGTTCATAATAATAATTTAACGAGGTACTACTACGGTTAAAGGATGATATTTCTCTTGAAGAAATTTTTCATTCAATTTTTCGATTACACGAAAGATAGTAAGTAATCATTGGCACGTAGTTATCATTGATATCTAAAATGCTAATCGATTTGTAAGTTAGTTATTAAGTTTGACGAGCGAGAAAATGACAAAGTGCGGAAAATTTCATAAGTGTTGCACGAGTTGGAATAGGAATTAGCAACCCGGTAATGATGGCGCATCCACCGGTTTCTGAGTAACGTGTAATAAGAGAATATAGAGAGACAGGATTATGAAAGAACGAGGATGAACAAGAGAAAAAAAAAAAAGGAAAAGAAAAAAGAAAAAGAAGAACCGACATTGCAGGAGGATGCTCCTTCATTCATAAGGTCAAACGATCATGCAGGAGACTACTCTCGGTGCATGCAGTAACAGAGATCGAAAGAGGGAGAAAGATAGAAAGAGAGATGATGCATCGGGCGTGCTCGAGGCACTTCAAATTTTTCCGATTCGAAAGTCACAGTTTTTTTTACATTCTCGTGCAACAGGATCTTCTACCTTCGATCCTTCGCTCGTACGGGGTAAGAGAGAAATTTCATCTGATTGGGTCAAATGCTATCTGGCGAATGTAATTTTGAACTTTTTTCAGAAAAAAAAAATGTATAGTGGGATCGACAGGAAGAAACAGACAGCTGTACAACGTGACGTGTTCAATGACAATGATATCGTTCCATTCACCTAATGAAGGATAGAGTCATTGAAATATATATATATGTGTGTAAAAAAAAAAAATAATGAAGAGGTAATACGATAGATAGTGAGATCGTATGAATTACAGTCGTATTTTTCAATCATTTTTCTGGATACATGTACGATAAGTTACATGACCAGGCAATGAAACGTAATCAACCGAGTAATATTATTAACCTTTTACATTGAACGCGTGCTCAATTTTATTCTTTTTCTTTTTTTTCTTTTTTTTCTTTTTTTTTTCCAAAGAAGATACGACTAAACTGCGCGAGTATGGAGGAGAATATTACGAAGAAAAACAAATAACAGATAAGAAGAAGAAGAAGAAGAAGATGCGTTCACCCAGAGAAATGTATGTGTGCGTAACTAAATGTTCCACGCGTCTCATTGATGTCGCATATTATTGCTTAACGAATGCCATTCCATGGTGAAAACGTGTCATCTCGGAGATTTCTTATTTTGCAATTACGAATATTATATACTCGTGTGGTTATGATATTAATTAAATTTTTCATTCGTTTCGAAAATAATTATTCTTTTCAAATTATTTTATACACCCCGTATTTTTTATCTGTTAGAATTTTACTCTACGTCAATTTTTTATTTTTCTATTCGAGAATCTAAACGTAGGATAACTTTTGCTAGAGAATAGAAAAAAAAATCTTCTAAAGGAAATATTTGGAATGTTTGAAAAAAAGAAAAAGAAATAAAAGAAAAGAAAAGAAAAATAATCAATGTATGTTTCTCTTTAATTCGAATCAATGATCGAGTTCGATCTTATCTTATTATTATTATTAATGTTTTGCTTCTTATTATCGTAATCAACTTAATTTTTGCGCATTTGTACATTTATTTCTGGCGAAATGAAACTTAACTATTGCGAGAGAAAGATAGTAAGAGAAAGAGAGAAAGAAAAGAAAAGAGGGAGGCTATCACGTGTATGAACGAGAGGATATTACGAAATACTTAAGGAACACTGCGTAAGATTTGTGCGGCATTACGTCTCTCGTCCCCAACATTCATCGTTATAAACAAATTTTATCGTTGGCATGAGCGAAGTTCGCGGAAACCGTAGCACGTAATGCTTTGCCGTCTCTGTCGTCGTCAATGATCATTGAATGATCTAACGAAAATGCATTTTGTTTTTTTTTTTCTTTTTTTATACTATATAGTTTTTTTTTCTAAAAAATTCTAGCAACGGTATCAACGATTATTACGTATACATACTTATAAAGTTTCTTCGCGATATTTCTATCGAGCTGATCGTGAAAAAGTATCGAAAGCCACGATGCGCAAATAAAACAAAAAAAGCCGATCAAACATATTTTCTAGATTTGTGGAAAAAGAAACGTGGATAGGAAAAGGAGGGAGGGAGAAGGAGGCTCGTCAACGAACGTGAAAGTTTAATCGTGAAAAATCATCGTGACATATTTTGTAACGATTCGTGATCGAAAAGAGAAAAAAAACCCCCCCCCCCCGAACAAATTAAACAAAAGAAAGGAAAAAAAATTCAAGAGTGATATATAGTGAGCAACATTTTACCAAGGTTTTTGAAATTAATCGACACCCCACGATTCGATACTCTAGACGAGAAAATTTCCGTAAAGTTGGATAATATGAGAAAAACATAGAAAATTTATAATGAGAATCGTTCGCGACGCGTAAAGATTTAAATATAAATAAATAAACAGAAAGAGAAAAAAACGAAAGAAAGATGTAAGAAGATAATGTTATATATACATGTTTTAATACGATATAGAAATATGATAGGACAGGATGTTGTAGACGGTGGTATCGTAACGTTAAAAGCAGACACAAATCGTGTTTTCTCGTTGTTGTTAACTGGCGTAATGGATACTACGTGTATCTTATTGTTATCTTAGAACGAACTCTTAATAGCTCTAGCATCTATCATTTTCATATTTGTGACGCGTGTGGCCGCACGCGCCGAGGATTTACAAAGATGACGATTATAGGAAAAACAAAGATAAAGAAAATTTAATAAAGTTGAAAGAGACATCAAGTGAAAGAGAGACAGAATGAGCAGAACAAGATATGGGTGGATGGTTGGATGGTTGGACGGACGGATAAATAGATAGTTAGTTGAAGATTATGATAGAGTGAGAAAGTCAAGTTACCTACCTTAATAGTGTACATAATCTCTTTCGGTTACACTGACACCGGTCGGGGAGCTTGCGATGCAGATGGGTTGGTACTTGTGCTTCTTCGTAAGATGCTTCGGCTCTTTATATACGCGACCGTACCAACGTGGTACAGTGAAAGGGGTCATCCCTGCCCTCTTCACAATGCACTCCTTCTGACCAGTGCATCTTCGGAAAAATGCATCGGGATATATCGAGTACTCCGAGAGCTTTTTCGCATTGCCACGTGACACGTAAATATTTCACGATTATTTTACGATTTCATTTCTTTTTTACTTCTTTTTCTTTTTTTCATTTTTCTTTTTCTTTTCTTTCCTCCTCATGCTTTTTATCTTGAATTCTTTTCTTTTAATCATTCCGTCGCGGGCCCTCTTATTAAATATTTACACTAAATTCGTTCCGTTTTTCGTAAGGATTGATATAAATTTGATTTTTATTATTTTTTCTTTTTTTTTTTCAAATATAAACGAACAAAATAAATAAATAAAAAAGAAAGATATTTCGAGCCTCTCTCTTTTACTTTCATGCGAGTTTATACGAACGTGTAAAGTGCGTATATTACAGCTTTTATTACGACATTCAGATATATATGTATATATATATATATACATGAATCGTATGTTTTTGTAGAAAGATTTAATCGATAGAAATGAATGCTTTTATCTTGACTAAACAAAAAAAAAAATAAAATTACATACATACATACATACATACATACATATATACATACGTTATACGATATATTGCATGAAAAATAAAAAACATAATAAAAAAACAAATTAGATATTACGCGTTACGAATTTTGTATTTAATATAATAAAATCGTAATAGAAAAAGAAATGCACACACACACACACACACACATGTACAATGTCTAGGTCGTCTCATTCGCGAACTTCGTCTTTGATAGATAAGGCCTTGAGTATTCTCCATTGATTATTTAAATTCATCGTTCTTAAAGCGCGAATAATCTCGCGTATGTTTACGCGAAACGCGAGAATCAATCACGCGCCTCGCGTATAAAACGTATAAACAATTTTTCATGATCTTTTTTTCTTCTTCTTCTTTCTCTTCGTTTCCTTATTCCTTATCCATAGAAATTCAATTAACGAAACGAACAACTCTTATTAGATGCGACAAGAATAATTCGTTCGCGTTAGGATCGTGACACGAAAATTTTTGCGAAAGTATTTTTCGATTTAATCTAAGTCCGAATAAAAGAATACGAATTCATTGGAAATTTATTATATGAACATTTCTTTTTCGTTATTTAATATATGATATAAATATCAGTGTTCTGAGAATGTGTAACAGTAACAACAACAACGATCAATGGATTCAATTTATACGTATTTGATTTTTATTCACTTCGTTTCTTATTTTTTCTTCTTTTCTTTTTTTACAGTCAATCAAAGTTCGTAGCTATGTACGTTTAAAAGATCCATAAAAATTTAACGATACGAGATTGTCAATTGAAATCAATTAACGTCTCTCTCTCTCTCTCTCTCTCTCTTTCATTCCTGATAACATTTGCCAATATCTAATGTATTTTTTATTATTCTAAATACGAATATCGGTATTTATCGTTTATTGTTTAAATTCAATGAAAATTAAAAGCTTTTCCAAGCATAAACGGATAGACAAATGTCGCGAAACGTAATTATGCATTTATTGTTTCCACGTAAAGAGTGGTAATATAATGAATCATCATTATTAATATCATTATTAAACATCGATCAATATCTATATCACATAAATCCAATATATTTCCGATAAGATTTATCATTTCTCGATTTATTCTTCTTAGTTAATGTGCTAATTTACACTTTTTCATGACTCAATTCTCGCACTTGTGGTGTTTGTTTCTTAAGCTTTTTTTTTTCTTCTTCTTTTTTTCTTTTTTATCGTCAGTTCGTGTTTCACGGCCTTGCGAACAGGAAATCCAACGAGTGGGTAATATTTCCGTTTAGATTGCTTCTTGTGTTGTATTTTTTCTTTTTGTTTTTTTTCCTTTATCTTCTCCTATTCAAGAATCTCAAAACGCGAAATCAGTTTGCTTGCGTACTTCGAAGCTACGACAACGAAGACGACGACAACGGCCCTCCCACTCCCTCCCTCCCCTCCTCCCACCCGCCGACGAAAGACTCGTTAAATTTTCACGAAAATAGAAAAGGTATTCGACGAATTTTTCGACGTCGATCGAACATAGGAGAAAAAGAAATAACAAAAATGAATTTTAAAAAATAATGCGCCTGAGATTAAGTTTTTTCTAAATTCGCGTGAAATTCTTATCAGCCGGGGCCCCATCCCCTGTTTAATTAGCATTCGCGTCGTTGAATTTGTTTTTTTGTTTTATTTCAATTCAGAAACTCGAGAAAGAGAGAGAGAGAGAGAGAAAGGAAAAAGGAAGGTTCCGTGTGCGGTTTTACATTCTACAAAAATTACCACGAAATAGATGGTTTAGTTGTTCTACGAATTAGAAGGATTATTATTATCGCAGTTAAATGAAATTTTAATATATTTTATGGATTATACAGTTCCCCAAATACGAAAACGAGGAAGTATCTTTTTATTATTTTCGTGATGAAAAAAGCGCGTTAAAATGTACGTTGATTTGAAATAGCATGATGATTCGTATCTAACGAAACGTATGAAATAGACAAATTGTGTTTTACAATTAGAGCAAAATATTTGATTGTAAAAAAATATAATGAATTAATAGATTTATACGTAATAATAAATATTTGTAACAATGGACACTAATGGTGAGTCAAAAAAATTCGACATATTTATTCGATAATTTATTTCACAATATATTGCACATTATACAATTTTATTTTGATTATATATTTTGATAATGTAAATAATTGTAATATAAAATATATCATAAAATTGTGTCCAAATTGTTTGCCTTAACAATGAATTCAATGTTATAATGACCAGCACAAATATGTATGACAAAAAAAATATATATATATGTAAATATAAATAATAATAAGAAAAGCGGACGTAAAATAGTTTATGTTAAATTGCTTCTGAGTTACGTAACGTGCAAAGAAAGATAAGAATCTCAGTAATATTGAAATTTCGCGAAGCTTACATTCGAAAATATCACGCCTTGCCAAATAAAGAGATAATAAGGCTTTTATAAATTATTATAATGAAGTGGCCAATGAACCGATGGCATGACTTTCGGGAATTTTTTGACTTTTTTATCACCTCCTTCTTCCTCTTTTTCTTCTTATTCTTAATTCTTCTTATTTTATTCTTTTTTCTTTTTTTTATATCCACCTACAATTAAATACAGTTCTCCGTCGTTCACATTTTACGCGTCGTATCTTTTCAGCATCTCTGTATGACTAATTAAAAAGCCGCCATAGTGTTTCGTTACATGTCAGGAACGGGTCGTTAAACCGTAAAACGAACAAGCCTCCGATTTTTCAAATTCCCCGGCTTTTCTTTTTCGATCTAAAAAAAAAATGAACACGAAAATTGTATAAATGTGAAATTATTTCAAAAATAGAACATTAAGAATATCAATCCTCTTTACCAAACCTAAAAATATTTAACATTTACATCAGATCTTATTGTCCATTTAAATTATTTCTTCTAATGGTTTACATTTTTGTTGTAAATTCATACATTAAATGTGCAATGTACATGTAAAGATGATTTTGACATATTTTGCGTGAAAATTCATTAGAAAAAAACGTTCCATTGTTTTTGTTCCTTTTTCTTTTTTGTTTATTCCATTAACTTCTAAATTGTAATTGTCTTTTTTCTTTTTTTCTCGACGTGTGTTGGGGATAAAACTTTGTTCGAAAAGAAAAAGGACGACTAAGTGTTGAAAAGGAACAAGAGGTAAAACGTTATTCGTGAGACGAAACGACCTCATAAAGCGAGGATTCGCTTTTCGCGTTAGACCGAAATCGAAAGCAAGACACGACTCGATCTCAAGGTGGAAGTCGAGAGAATCCTCTCAGGAAATTACAAAATCCGGGTCGAACGAGAGAACAAGAAAGAAAGAAAGAAAGAAAAGAAAAGAAAAGAAAAGAAAAGAAATACTCATCCAAACGTAACAGGGGCTACCCTTTTTTTCGTGTATCTTCTTTTTCTTTTTTTTTTCTCTCTCTTTTTTCGTCGAAACGAATCCTACATAAGATAAAACCGTATCCATACGTGTCGCGAATTTCAATAAGCAACAGCCAGACATTGTCCGATATTAATCTTCGTATTTTTATTTACTAATGTAAGTAAATAACTAAAAAAATAAATAAATACATATATATATATATATATATGTAAATAAATTTGTATATATATGCAACCTTTCTCACAGCTAAGTTCCACTACCATATATCGACATTTACATCGTGTCATTCATGTGACGCGCGCAACACAATAGAATGCACACGATTCTCTTCTCGAAGATTTTCGAATCCCTATTTTGATATCTCTCTCTCTTTTTCTCTTATATTCGTCATGAGAAAAATCGAGAATTGAGTTACGGTAAAAAAAAAACGTTACGGTATATTAAATAGAATTCACAAGAATTCACATTGAAAAAACGGGGTTGCATCGTTCCGATTCGTTCGATTATACGAACGAATTAAAAATTGTAATCTTTCACGAGTTCAGCTACGAACAAAAAAAAGAAAAAGAAAGAAAGAGAGAAAGAGAGAGAGAGGTAAAAAAGTACTAACTATTATTGATTAACGTGGATAGATTTTCAAGAAAACAATTTTCTTGTCAAGACTGTACGGCCGCACGACTATGGGCAAATCATGCGACTCGAGTACGTCAGCCGAGAAGATGAAATCTCAACGTTGCTCGGGCATATAGAAAACCACGAATATACATATATGTATCTAATAAGTATTATATATTATACGTATACACATTAACATACAAATATATTATAGATATAACTATATATTTATATTTATATATGTATATCGTTTTATATGCCTAGCATCATCTTATACGTTTAGAAGGAAAAAAAATGGTGATGTATGGATGATGAGCTTGCATAATATAATCTCAGCATATACTTCAAGAAAAGATTTGTCATAGCTGAAGAATCAAATCTAACGCAAATCTAAAACTTACGTATGCATTCGAGAACGTCAAAAACTAATCGATTGAGCATCAACTTTTAGATAGATCGCGAATTTATGATAAACGATTATTTTATATTAAATACATCTCAAATCTTTCTCGCGTGTTAATAATTATAAATTAATTTCAACGAATCACGAATATATTGATCTTTTCGTTCGTAATCGTAGAAAACCTAATCGAAAGGTATTATTTCATTTAACATTGTTCATTCTATTCGTATTTCGTTGTTAATTTGAATTGTTCTCTCTAATCTAATGTAAGATCGTTAAAGTTTACATAATGTTAGCGGGCCGTGTAAGTTTCTCCGAAGGATAAAAATCCACTTATGTTAGTTAAGCGACTGATATCGCTTTTGGTTGAGATATCCGTTCATTCATTACATATATATATATACACACACGCATATAACATAGAAATATATCTATGCGTAACGATACGTAAAGTATATCATTACGAGAAATAGAAGACGATGAAAAGGATGTTTCTCTAGTCGAGTATCTTCTTCTTCTTCTTCTTGGATGGGAAGAAAAGAAGGGTAAAGAAACATGTTTGCTTTTCTTTTTATTATTTTTTCCTATACCCTTTTTTTTCATTCTTCTTTATCAAAAAATATGAAATAAAAAGTAGAGAAGGACGAAATTCAAGCTGACCGGACAGAGGGATACTCCACCTGAAGATGTCGTATATAACATAATCTATATATACATATATAGAAGTTATAGAGAAGTTATTCGAGCAAAAGGAAGGACTAGATCGATCGAGACGTCTGAACGAATGGAGAATAATAATATCTACGTAAAAAGATATCGATCCCAGGTTCGTATACGCCCCTGATCGCAGGCGTATTACCTGCAATACGAGTCTGGTCAAAAGAGAAAGAGAAAGAGAAAGAGAAAAAGAGAGAGAGAGAGAGAGGTATCGTCATACACATCGAGGATGACGCAGTGTGCCCCCATAGAAGCGCGACTACATGCCATAGTGTCATAATACGCGTCCTTTGGAGCTGCTTTTCGAGTTGCGCAATCATATTTAATAACGACAGCCTGCGATTACCAGCACGACTCGTCTCAGCTCTCTCTGCATCACCGATTTTCTTCTTCTTCTTCTTTTTACTCCGTGGATCATCTTCTTCTTCATCTTCATCTTCATCTTTTTCTTCTTCTTTATCTTGATGTTGTTAGGAGAAAGACCACGGTGTCTGTCTGTCTGTCTGTCTACTTCGTCTGCACCCACTTTGCCTTAAAACGGCAGATTCCCGTCTCTTACGATGATCATCATCCTTTTCCTCCAATGAGCGTGTAACGATACTGGGTACCATGAAAACGCCTCTCGATTAATTTACAAGCCAAGATATTGTGCTAATATACGATACTGATAAATCCCGCGTGTAGTGGCGACAACTACGAACTCCTCCGTTCAATCCTTACGATCCATTCCGATTCGATTTTTATCGCGACGGGAGGAGGATAATGCCGTTAACTTTCATTTCGTTTCGTTTCGTTTCGCTTCTTCTCTTTTTATTATTCTTCGAAGTGAGAGTGAAAGAGATAGAGAGAGATAGAGAGAGAGAGAGAGAGAGGGATTTAGGTACGAGGATGGTCTCGTAAGATCGCCAAATAAGATTTGTCATTTGCAGTTTTCATCCATTCGATCGATCAAGTGTATAATTAGTTTCTTTTTTTTTTTTATATAAGAAAGAGAAAATCAAATAAAATGCAAAAAAGAATGGATGAAAAAATATTGATGAATGTATTCAAATTATTCGAATGAAAGCATGATCTAGGAATGATGTTGCAATTAATAATATCGTCGTTTAGAATCCTCTCTTTCTCTCTCTCTCTCTCTCTTTTCATCTATCTAAAATTATTACGTAAGATTCCGTAGGAAGGCGTAGTAGTATGATGTCCTTGCAATTAGTCGACTAGACTTTTACGATGGTTTAGCTTATTTTTCTTCGAAGGTTTCTCTAATACTAATAATTCTATCTATCCGTAAATTATACGTCGACAAAGATTCGAGATTTTCAAGTCAATCTCTTGTTGAATTTTAATTAATTTTTTTTTCCTCATCGAAATTTCTTTAAAAATAATTCTATCTGTTTGTGTCAATTGAATTTGTTGTTGTGATAATTAAACAATCAAAATATATTGATTAGAGAATATTTTATGATAGATGCTATATATATTATAATATTATTTTGTTATTAAATATTTTTACAAAATTATTTTTCATACGTTTTATCTTATAATAATTAATTATTACGTATGATAATTAATAACAAGAAATGATATATAAGAATACTAGTAAAACTTTTCTCGTTCTCTCGAGAACAATTGTATCTTATGTTAGAGTTCCCCTTACAATTATCCCGAATGTACGATCTATAATCCTAATGAACCTATACAAATTTATAAAGTTTCAAAAAACATTCAGAGAAAACATATGACACCGTCTGTTTGTCAGACAAACGCATAAGTAATTTTGTTCCATTATAAAGTGAAATTATTCCATGCAATTATTAGAATCAATTTAGTATAACCTTCGTGTTGTTTTGTTGCATTTATAGTTATTGTAAACAGTTTAGTCATTTCTTCGATGTTCGTATTTTTTTCAGTTAAATATCATAAACTCGATTAAACTATCAAAGGAAAATTTAAAAATTTATCTTTCTTAGAAAGATAATAACATATGATTATCGATAAAGTTTTAACCGGAATTCAGAGAGAGCACATCTTAATATTTATTAAAACTTATAAAACTTGTCAAAGAGTTACTTCAAAGTCCATTGATCATACTTTAAGCATATCCTACTTGAAAGAATTTACGAGTTATTGAAGGTCCAAGAATTATCTCTGGTGAGTAATTAAATCGATATTCCAAATAAACTCGTGATTAAATTATTAATTAACTTTCCAATATAATAATAATAATAATAATATATCTTTATATTTAGTTTCACAATCGTGAGTATATATTAGGATTGGGTTTATAATTTCCTAATAAACTTTTCAAAATTTATTATTAAAATTAAGTAATCTTATATAACTCGTGATTTTATTTTTGATTAACTTTCCAAAATACATATAATATTTCCATTAATATAATTATTTTTCAAATATTTATTTAAACGTTTCCCCCGATAATACGAATTACATCGAGGTAAGAAAATAAAAATAAAGATACAATTGCTATTACTATAAAATATTATTTCGTATCGATAATATATATCTCTCTACAAGGAAATGATGAAATATAAAGTATATAGATATAATTGGTGTCAGTGAACTTGACCCTACGCGACTAGACAAATGCCTAACTTCGTACAGAAATAAGACTATCAATAGCTTCAACAAATCACGATTGAATAATACACGTCTATTCATTCAATATCTCCAGCACTAGGAGCACAAGTAGCGATTAATGAACGGTAATTAATGATAATTACTTATCTAAAATATGCTACGGATTTGCATCGAAAGTCAAGGCCGAGAATGGTAAGCGACTTAGAATACTCGCTACTCTCGAAAGTGTGTAATTCAGTACGTCGGATTTATTCGTACAAGACTTTTGTAGATAATGTTAAACACTTCCGGTGATTTCACTTTATTCCGTTACATGAGATCGTGACAATATAAAAAAGAAAAGAAAAGAAAAAATTACTTTTATCGAAATATGCAAATAAATGAAGAAGAAAAAAAAATGTATGCTAAAATCTTTTACTCGGTCGGAGTCTGCGGTGTAAAGATGGGTCAACCTTTCGCCTTGCGATTATGTAAGATCTCGGACTGACTGACCTTTAGGTTCGTTCATGGCATGCGGCATTTACGTAATTTACCGATTACGATGTATTAGAGTCTCCTATGCCTAGAAAATAGTTCTTCTTCCCGTTCTAATATTTTTTAGGGTTTTTACACAAATATTTAGATACTTTTATCTGCATTATCTTAAATGTGAATCTTTTAAGTATATCGATTTAAAAGATTTCGAATATTTCTAACATTATGATCTTTTTATATGTATATATATAAATACTTATACAGTACTTATCTATTCAAGAAATTTATATGAAATTACATGAATCGACGAAAACGATACGATCTACGTGAGAATTAACATTTTTTAAAAATATTTTTTTTCCTTAAGTTTCACATAAAAACGGGTGAATACGATTAGAACACGGATAAGAAAGAATTAGCATACTTTTGATTACTTTGAACACTTTTTCTGGCCTTCAAATATGAATAGATTAAATATAAATATAGTTATATGTCATTGATATTTCTAAATATAATAAAAAAGATATTTTTATATATATCTCGCTATAATTCTCGGTAATAATAATTTTTAATTAAACGCGATTTAGTATAGATTATAAATCATTAAATAGAGAAATGTTATATATTGATTATTCGTAAGAAACATTTCGAATAAATAAAACGGGGCTGAATAAAATATTTTCTAATGTGCAATTTTTTTTTTACTAAGTGTATAAAGAGCACTCGGAACATAAATACGTAGGATAAATAAATATCTACGCGTACACCTGTAAATATACATATATATTATAAAGAGAATGATAGGAGATGATTCTATAGGTGCGGCCTGTAACTATCTGATTATCGCGTGCCATTAAAAAAATAGACAGTGTTTACATTTAAAATTATCTTCGTGAGAGAAAGTTAAATCATTAATGAACATTATTTTCATACTTTAAATCAATGAGAGTAATAGTACTATAAATTCACAATACACAATGAAGTGTTCATTGATTTGGCGAGTACTATAGGGTATGAATATAATGAGCAAGAGAGAGAGAGAGAGAGAGAGAGCAGCGACATCTCGGTTGAGCGTTATCAGGAACTACATTATACTCACTTGTAATACGACGTACTGCTTTGACATATCCAATGCTATATAGAAACTACACACGACTGCTTGTAGTACAATAGAGAACACATACCACACGCATATCTATAAGCTGGGAATTTAATGCTATTGGGTGGCTTTTGTTAAAATCAACCTATAAATCTCCACTTTAGTCAGGATCCATAGGTGTCGATAACAATTCCCTTGGGAATTAATTAGTTCTATCCTTGTATTTCCATAATAGAGGGAATCTCTAAGAGAAGAAAATGTTGGAGTCAACTAAGCAAATCTTAACTTCTACTAGAATTATTTTAGCCAGCGGATCACCAAGGAGATATAAAATAATTAAAAAGTTGGTAAGTTTTGCTAATAATAATCTCAATGATCTTTTATATTAATTGTAATATTGACTTAAACTATTTTTATATATGATTTTCTAAATGTTGGGATCTATTGTACAACATGGTTGCTATTTTATATTTTAGGGATTCGATTTTGAAGTCATAGTATCTAATTATGATGAAAATTTAGATAGGTCTATGTATAAAAATCATGGAGACTATGTTCAGGATTTAGCTAAATTTAAAGCTCAAGAGGTACATAAACGTATTCAAAATGATCCTAATTTACCATCTTTAATCATTAGCGCAGATACTCTTGTAACTGTTGGTGATACTATTTATGGAAAACCAAAGGATGAGTCTGATGCATTTCGTATGCTATCTCAGTAAGAATAGTGCACAGATCATTTAAAAATTTATATATACTAATTATATCAGAATTGATAGTTTGGTTTCTAATGTCTCATTATGTTTATTCGCAGTCTTGCAAATAGAGAGCATGTCGTTTACACCGGAGTGTGTTTGAAAACACCTAAGAAGGAAGTTATCTTCCATACGTCAACAAAAGTAAAATTTGGTGACTTATCTGAAGATCAGATAAAAGCATATATAAAAACAGGAGAATGTCTGTAAGTGTTTCTTTTAAATTATTGAAGTAATTAACTAAATGACTAATATTTGTGTAATTTGTTTAGAGATAAAGCGGGAGGATATGGAGCGCAAGGTCTTGGCGGTTGCTTAATTGAGAACATAAGTGGTGACTTTTATACTGTCATGGGCATGCCAATATATTTTGTGACTAAACATCTCAATGAGATATTTGCTAATTCTAGGTAATTTAATATTTAATATTAAGTATTTATATACATAGATTTTTTTAAATATGTATACATTGCATCAAAGGTAGCTGTAAAATAATATATTAGAATTGTATATAAGTTGATTGTAAGTTATTAAGTAAAGATGAAATTCGTTAATATATTATAATTAAAAGATTAATTATTTGTTATAGAAGAGAATTTTGTTATGATTCTTATATACGATTTTTAAATTTCGATTAAAATATTTACTTCTATAAATACTTTAATCTGATTGGTTCTAGATCTTAACATGGCGGATCTTGACCAATGAAAACAAGCGAATAGATGTAAGAGGAACGTGAATTGCTGTGTTAGGGTTACGTCAAAGAAATAACTAGAAACAGCCAATAGAAAACGAGGAAATGAAAATTCTTAGCTTGCATCTTTCTCCGTTCGAGTATTATGACAACCTATTGCACTTTTCGGTACATTATGTCATTCGCTTAGTCAAAGAGATAAAAAAAATACAGTGCTCTTTAGTACGCATTACGATAAAATATTTTTTGTTCGCAGTGTGATTTAACGCACACAATAATAAAATGGAAGACGTCCTGGACGAAGTCGTTTCTTCGGAAGATTTGAAGGTATTTATAAAAGAATAAAAATAACAAAACCCTGGTCATTTTAAAGAAATATAATTGTCATTCCTAAAACTTCATATTTTTCGTACACAAATTTTGTAATTAAAAATAAAATTATAGTTCGTTATTAAGTATCTGTCATTTCAAAGATTGAGGTTAATTATATACAGTGGTAATTGATTTCGATTCATTTATAATTTGCGGTTGCATCATTTTGTTAAATAGACGATTTACATTTATGAACTTCAAACTAAACTTTAGATTTGACGATTATTCGAAACTTTGTTATTTGTTTTATTATTCATTTTTAATCAATTAATATGATTCTAGAAAATATCAACTCTATTGACATTTTGTCACAATATACGTTGATATATTTTTATTATTTTTATTACAATATTGTAAAAAATATTATGTGTTATGTTTTGTTAACAGGGATTAAAGTCGTATATAATAAAATAATATTTTAGCTGATGTTACATTATATTTCAGAAATTTGAACGTGTGTATCATGAACAGTTACACGCATCAGGTGTGACTCAGAAAGCACAGTTTGAGTACGCGTGGTGTCTTGTCAGAAGCAAATATCCAGCTGATATCAGAAAGGGCATAGTACTGTTAGAAGATCTTTACAGTAATCATGGTGAAAGCGGAAAGCGAGATTGCTTATATTATTTAGCTATTGGTAATGCAAGAATAAGGGTACGTAATTTATTAATTTTATTTCCAATATAATAACACATCCTTGTAATTATATGTCAACATTGACATTACTTGTCGATTAAAATAATTTAATATTTCTAGGAATATACGAAAGCTTTGTCGTATGTCAGAGCTTTCCTTCAGGTTGAACCCGCCAACGAACAAGTTCAACAGCTGGAGAGGTTAATAAAGAAAAGGATGGAAAAAGGTTTTTTTTTCATAACTTACAATCATCTTAGAAAAATAAGAATTGCAGCCGATTCTCGTTTAACGTTGTTGCAACCTATTTTTATTATTTTACCACATTCGTATTATTTAATGTTTCTTTTAATATTCTTCATATTTCTTTGGTTAGCCGGAACGTACATTAATCTTCTCTGAAATATCTTCTGAATGATAGATATGGCGAAAGTATTATTGGCTATGCGGGATGTGTCAAATGTAGATGACTCGAGATTTTTAATCTAGCGTATTTATATATACATAAATCTAGATACAGATAGATAAAAGTTTAACAAATTTATACAAATGTTGTAAATATTGTAAATAATTCAATATATAGAATAGTAATAAGGAGTAATATAAAATTCATCATGCATTATAGTAAAAGAACATTCCTTAACACGTTAAACGCCTTAGACTTTCTGTCCAGGCTGCATCGGTCATTTTTATGTTTTTCTATGGCTGACAGATCATCATAGCCTAAATAGAAAGCTCAAGAACAGAAGTTTAACGTATTTAAAGAGAAAACTTGGTATTGCTTAGACTTAATTTTTCAATCATTTCTATATGCACATATACTTACCCTATAATTGATCAATCTCAAGTGTAATGTTTAAATGTCTATATAAATTATTATTATTATTATTATATTCCATATATACTTATGTCTTTTTTGACAATGAATTTTATAACTCTTATACAATCGGTTTGATAATAATTATGTATATAAAATGTTGAATAAGTCTCGAAGAGAAAATCTCTTGGAAAAATCAAACAAAAAAAAAACAGAAAGAAAAGAAAAAATATGTAATTCAATTTTAATTTGATTAGCGTTGAATTTATATTTTATTTTTTTTTTGCAGAAGGTCTTTACGGTATAGCTGTGGCGGGAGGTGTAATTATCGGTGTTGCGAGTGTCCTAGGACTCGGAATCGCAATGGCTAAAAAGAATTAATCCTATTTGTAATATTCGTGAATTGCGTGTGATGTGAGAAAAAATAGTTCATTTTGTGGAGAGTGAAGTTTCGCAAAAAGAAAAGAAAAAAAAAATGAAAAAGAAAGATGAAAAATATAATAAGAATTATGATTGAAACAGACACCGGAAATGAGTATTCGAATATGCTTTTGACATATGACAAATGTACGTTATAGTTTCCTGAAATGATTTTCTAAATATATAAATATATATATATATATATATATAGAGAGAGAGGGAAGCAAAAAAGAGTAAATGAAGTAAAAAGAAGTGAAATAAAAATTGCTGTATTGTATGAGAGTAAAAACTAAAGCAGCGGTGTCTTAGATTTTTTGTCTTTTAAAATACCGAATTAGAAATTAGCGTACGACAGTCGAATTATTTTTAATCCTAAGATTCATATATTGCTATAATATATTATTTATATTTGTATTTAGGAATATAAACTACCATATCTTGTCGTACGTATTGTACGGGGGAAAAAAGAAGAAAAAAGGAAAAAAAAATGTATTTTTTTTAAACAAAAAAGAAAAAAGGCTTGGAAAAACATTCCGAAAAATTTTACATCGTTGTTTAATATATTTTCATATTTTTTTTTTAAATTTATTCGATATTTGTAGCTTTCTTTGTGTGCGTATCCCTTTTGTTTAAGTTTGTTTCTAACTAAAAAAACTCGCCTAAACTCCATCAACTACTATTAAAAAAAGCTACATGGTAAGAGCTTAATACCAAAGCCACAGTGAGTGTAAGCATAGCTTTTGTACATAAGATTGAAAAAGAAAGAAAACTATGTATTGAACTAAATATTTAAAACTGTATTGTTATCTCGAACCTTTAATAAAGATAAATGTTATTGTCTTATGCGATGTTGTGTAAGCCTCATAGAAGTAAAAAGCTGACGGCGATACGATGACAAAAAAAAAGATGAGGAAGACGATATAGGAGGATTAATTCACGCTATAGAAGGATAAAAAAGGAAAAGAAAAGAAAAATATAGCACCTTTTTATTTTTTTATCTTTTTTTTTTGTTCCTTTTTATATATAGATTTTATTGATGATTTGTTAATATCCGTTGATAAAGTTATTTATGTACAAAATAACGCTGGAATATCCCTATATATATATATATTTATATAATATTATATTTAATGATCTACGATTTTTTATTTTATTTTATTTTTTTTTTTTTTATGGCCCAGAAGTCTCGAGAAATAAGCCCACACCACCATCATTACACCCGCTCGAGCTTTTTCGCATATTAATTTTCTTTTTCTTTTACGAGCCACGGCTTTACGCATTTTCGCCCTTTCTTCTTATTATTATTATTAATTTTAATATTATTATTATTATTATTATTATTATGTATATGTATGTATATATATATCTTTTTCTTTGCGTTGAAATACGGAGGAGCGCTGTTGCTATTGTTTTTATTATTTGTGTGTGTGTGTGTATATTTTTGTTGTTTTTGCGAGCGGGTTGTACATTTCCATAGCCTTCTTTTATAATATTTCGTTCTCGTACTATGTACAAATCGATCGGTCGTTTCTTTTTCTTTTTTTTATATAGTTTTAATTTTTCTTTTTATTTATTTTTTGACGTGGACTCGGGAAGAGGAGGGGGGAGAGGAAAATTGGGAGAAAATTGGGATAGTGGATGATACATATTAGTAGAAGAGCGCGGATTTATTTTCCTACGACATACATACATACACATGATTAGATATATGTGTGTATATATTTATTTATTTATTATTATACATACATATATCTAGAAAGTTTGAACAGGAAGGCCGAGGAAGTGTGGCCACGCTCTTTCTTAATTAATTAATTATAGTACACGCGCGTTTATCTCTGTCTCTCTCTTTTTTCTTTATTTATTAATTTTTTTTTTTTTTCTTTTATTATAATATAAGATTCTATGCTTCTTCTTTTTCCCCTTTCTTAGATTATTTTAATTATTATTATTTTTTTTTCTTTTTTCCTTAATAAAGATCCAATAAGAGTTAAGGGAGAAAATCGAGTATAGGCAGACGAATGATCTCTTATAAGTCATCATTTATACCTCGATAATATATTTACATACACGGAAAGAGTATTTCATTGACTCGTGCCGAATCTTCTCGTTTTTCGTGTCTACGAGAAAAAAAAAAAAACCCATCCTTTCAATATTAATTATTTTCTTTCTTAATTAAATATATCAAAATAATTCGCGGGGACCTGAATATTTATACGCCGGTGCTTTGAAAATCACATTTTTGTAAAAATATACGATTTTACTTCTTTTAGAATTTTTAATCTTGCGCGTAGAAAAAAGAAAAGAAAAAAAAAAAAGAGAAAAATTTGTTGCCGACAAAAAAAAATCTAAGAAATAACCAAAATATATTACGTACGTTGTGTCGTACGTTTCAATTAAAAATTCATTAAAATTAATTCTACGTCACATTATATATGCGACATTTTTTGTTTAGAGTCTAAACAAAAATGTGTACGTAAAAATTAACTTACACGTATAAATATACATAAATAAATACAATAGGTGAGACGAGAATAATAAAATTTTGAAAAGAATGTTGTCAAAGAAAATTATGCACGTGTGTGTTGATTTATTTTTATCGTTAGACAGAGTCTAATGGATGTATCGTAAACATCGGAGACAAGTTCGGAAGGTCGTATCAGTGGTTTAGTAGAAGACGAACGATCGAGCGAAGGTGTCACAAGCTTATACATATATATATAGAGTCCGTCTAACTCGTAATTAATAACGGCGCCGGGTCGAGAATAATTTATCATTTATGGTGTCAATCCGATAAGCCCGTAGTAGATTTGAGAAGGTAGGAAACGATAAAACTGGTGCGACACTAACGATCGGACCTCGTAAGAGAAAAGTTCATTAATTATTGTTAATAATAAACGAATTGGTCTATCAATTTCAACGATTTTACGTATCACATATATGTGAATATGTGACATATTTATACAGTGAGTTACAGGAGTATTCGTATAAAGCCTTTTACTGTTAATTGTAAATATTTGATTGTGTTCGGAAAGTAATTTTGTGTTTTTTTTTTTGTTTTTTTTTTTGTTTATCAAAAATTTACTTTCCGATAATTGATATTTGCTTGTAATAAAAATTTATGATTGTTAAGATTTCAAATCGAATATCAATTTGATTGGAAAAGAATATTTTATTGTTTTTTATAAATATAATTTGACATAGATTATAAAAACAATTGATCTCGCACAAAAGTAATCGTACCTATATATTATAAGATATAATAAAAATACAATTAATATTTTTTAGCAAGTAGTATTTGATTTTTTGCATTCTATAATGCATTTTAGAAGATTGGGCATACTCTTGTGAGACTCATTTTATCATTTATGTTAAATTATAACTTTTTTCAAAATAAAATATGCTTTTTGCAATCAAATTTATATTAATTTCAAAGTTTAATATTTCTTAAAAATATGTTTCTATATAAAAGAATTTAAAAATATTAATTATTAGCAAATATTTTAATTGTTTTAAATTAACAGTAGGAATATGAATACTCCTGTGATTCATTGTAAGTAATATACATTACATATTTAAGTATACAAAAAAAGTATAAATATGTAAATAATTTGTTGGCGCAAAAATTTGATTAGAAACGCGTTAATTCTGACGTTTATTTTTTTATATATCAATAAACAAGTTGGAATTATAATTTATCGCGCGAATTAGACAATAACGTTTTTCTTTCTCTTTCTTTCTTACGTTTTATATTTTCTATCCGTGTAGGAATATGAACGTAGTTCGAGATTAGATATATTTATGTATATATATATATATAATATATATAACATATATATCATATATATAATATATATATCATATATATTAACAGCTTGAAAATATTTTTAAAGCAGTTTACTTTTTTTTTCTCTTTTCTTTTTTGTTCTTTAAAGGGATGTATATTGCTTTCTCAATAAGGCTCTGCTATGCTTTACACGAATATACAGTGTTAATGATGGTTTCAATGTATATGTTAGATGAATGAAAATACGTTTACGCGAGTGATGTGTAATTTTGTGTACATATAGTCTGTGTATTGTGTGTTTTCTTCATGAGAAGCCGTATTTTCAGTTCCTCGAGAAGAAATGAAATTATCTTCTTCTTCTTCTTCTTCTTCTTCATCATAATCTACTCGACGATTTTCGATTGAAGACCAAAGATGTCTGGTATCCAGAAGTTGTGTCTTTTATCAAGGACGAGCAAAACTCTTTCTTCTTTTCTACGATGAGTACACATATTTTTCGTATATTTGTGTGTGTATTGTGTGCAAATATATATATATATATATATATATACCTTATATTAATACATATACGCAAAGATGGTGATCTTAAAAATATGGAACTTAAGTACACTTTGAATCGTGCACGCGTGTGCGTGTATACAGACGTGTGTGTGTATTGCGTATAATAGATACATATACATAAGTATTTACGTGCGTCGCGATGTGCGTATTATCAAGAAATGATAGAATAATTCTCGAGGTGTATATATATATGTAATATATATATATATATATATTTTTTGTTTTGTTTTGTTTCTTTCAAAGATACCAATAAGACGCACTTTTAACATCGAATTGTCATAATTGTTCACTCTTTCTTTCTCTTTCGCTCGTATGGAATGTTTCTAATAATACGGACGAATACAAAATTTGATTAACGCTTTGAACGCTGTCGAATCGAGTTTCGAAAGTTTTCAAATCGATAAAAGAAGAGTCTATTATCATCTGATCTCTTCTATTTTATTTTATTTTCTCTTCTACGTATAATTAATTAAGAATTAAATATAAAGTTTAATATATTTTATCTCGTAATAGAACGTAATCGATATGGGAATTGAATAACTCGGAGAAACTCGGTTCGATTTTTGTAGTACATAGTACATACTTACATACATACACATACATAGAAGATGATGATGATGATTATGATAATGATGATGATGATACCGTGTGGGATTTCGAATCTCGAACGGTGTCGGACTTTTTTATGGGGTTAGTCCTCGCGTTAAATAAGTCCTATGTATTCGGGATTCGATTGATAAGTCGCAAGACGATTCTTACGGAGGTTTTCTTATGGGAATATTTCGCGATTGGAATTTACGCATAAAATGGGATACAATATGTTCGAGGCAAAGCTCTCTCTCTCTCTCTCTATTGTGAAATTTTCGATTATTTTCTCTCTCGTTCACGCATACACACATACATACTCTCATTTTCTTTCTTTATTTCTTTCTTTCTTCCATTCTTTTTATTTATTTATTTATTTATTTATTTCTTTCTTTATTTTCTTTCTTTTTCGTGACGATGCTCGATAAGTTCGTAGAATTTATTATGGAGGGAGGCCAGGAATCTTATTTTTTACCTTCAATACGCGCAAAAAGGAACGTTTAATATATCGTTCGTCTGTTTAGATATAAACGAGGATTCTTTCATTTCTAAATATCGCTCTTTTCTTTTTATATATTATATTTTTATATCTACATATGTAGATATATTATATATATATATATATATATACACACACACGCACACAAACACTCACACATAAAATACATTAAGATCGTTATTTTCAGTTAAGTATCTCTTATCTTTTTAGTTTTGAAAAATTAAATGATCAGATTACAACTATAAATATTATTAATTAATTTTCTTCTCATAATTGGATTTACATCATAAAATGAAAGGCTAGTGTATATGTGTGTGTATATGTTTATATATATATACATATGTTGGTAGTACGCGCTTGTTTCGAACGCAATTATTCATAGAAAAAAGAAAGAGAAAAATATTTGTATTGTAGATAGAGAGAGGCCCTTATGTGCTATCGGCATTTAATTTTGTACAATTATTTAATAACTATGACGATTAACTTATTCGATCATATTCTACACATTATATTCCTATCTCTTCCTTTCTTTCTTTCTTTTTATTTTTCTTTCTTTCTTTCTTTTTATTTTTCATCTTAATCTTCATTCTTTTTCACATTATGCCTGACTAGCGATACGTTACATTTCAATTTGCATTTTTTTTTTCTTACTCTCTATATCTCTCTCTTTCTCTTACTTGATTTTTTTTTTATTATTCTTAATCATTTATTTCACAAAGTATGACAGTCATATTGTAAAATATACATTTTCTTTTCTACCCATTCTCGCCAAAGGATTAATAATAATAATAATAGTAATAATAATAATAATAATAATAATAATAATAATAATAATAATAATAATAGTAATAATAATAATATTATTATTTCTCTCTTTTAGAACTGTCTAATTATGTAATATTATACTTGAGACACTTCGACATTTACAATATATTTAATACAAACACGCTACGTAGATGTGCCGGCCATCTTTTTTTATTATAGAAACGACACTCCTTGCTTGTTATTTTTTTCTTTTTTTAATTATTTTCTTTTGTTGCAATATGACACATCGAAGTAAGAGTTAAAAGTAAAAATTTGTTGGAAAAATCGATTCCGATACATTTATCATTCATTTTTATTTTCTTTTTTTCTTTTTTTTTCACTGCTGTTCGAGTCCTATTTGTTTGTTGATATTCACAATTATAAAATTGAACTCGCATCGTTTTTCAAAAAATATCATTTCGTTTCTTATAGACTACTCAGATCCAGTTTCTATTCATTTTTATTTTTATTTTAAAATAAAGAGAGAAAGAGAGAGAGAGAGGCAGAAAAAAAAGAATAATAATTAGAACAAGTTAGGTAAATGTTTAAAAAATTAATATATTGCATCAATTCTATAATTATTTTTATCTTCATATTTTAGGCTAATAAATTAAATATGAATACAATAAAAAATAAAATATAACCGAACAACATCTAATAGAAAGAAAGTAATTGAAGAAAACTAAAAAATGAAAATCTTCTAAACACAAATTTACTTTCATTTTTTTTAATCATCCAAAATTTGTGTGTATGTGTATTTTTTTTAATCATAACTTGACCCAATTATATTTCTTCCAATATCGAATCGAAATTGAAGTTCGATATACCGTTTTCCATTTGATCGTATTTTTGGAACATTTTATTTTCCAAACGTATTATCAAACAACAATAAAATATATTTGAAAGATGCGCACAGCTTTGTTTTCAGTGTCCTATGTGTGATGTGTGTGTATATACGTTTACATACATCGAGTTTATGTGTTTGTCTGTATTCTCTTTGAGTAAATCAGCCTATTCTCATTCGACAATAAAAGCTCTGACACGTACGTGAAAGAAGCTTTCATTTCTCATTGATATGTGTATGTGTGCGCGTGTGTGTACTCGGTGCTTCCACCGTTATCGTTGATTTCAGAAGAAATAATTTACAAGCTTTGCGAGATAAATCGGATAATCTTTCCTCCCTCTCTTTCTCTTTCTCTCTCTCTTTTGTTTGCAATCAAATTGATTCCCCTTTTAAATATTTTAACCTTTTTCATCCTTTTGTAATACAATTCACCTCCACCATTTTTATTTCTCACGGCGTGACGTGCCAAACGTTAACGTATACTTGTTGTTTTCTACCGAAATAAGTGTTTTTGTTCTTTATTTTCTTTTTTTCGTAATTACCTTCCCAAAAATGTCTTTGAATTTTTATCTTTCCGTCTTACTTTTTATTTTTATTTATTTATTTTTTTTTTTTCTTTATCGTACGCGCACGTCCACGATTTTTTTTTCCGAAACATTTCCAAGACGTCCGCCAAATTAATTTTCTATCTTATAATTGTTACCGTGATGAATAATTATTTTTTATTCATTTTATCAGAACTTTCATCACGTTTTATCATAGGACTCGAGGATAATGAAATTTTACGTCTGACACTATCGACTGAAGTTGCAAGTATTCAATGCACATTCTGGGAATTCCTATGAGGGGATAGGTTAAATGTTATTGGAATTCAAACGCCTTCGATTAGCTTCTCGGGATAGGTTCTACAGTATTTGCGTCTTAAATACGTTTGATTAATTCGTCCTTTGAATTTCTTCTTTCCTTTTCACATTTTCCTTTCTTTCTTTCTTTCTTTCTTTCTTTCATTCATTCTTTCCCCATTCCTCTTTTTATTTTTTATTAAGAACGAACTATGCTCGTTATTACCGCAGGTATTTTAACTTTTTTCATTTTTCTTTTTTTACACACGGGCTTACTTTTTACAAAGATTTCGATTTTTTCTTGCACAAACATACACACATACACACATATACTCGCACTTTCTTTCTTTCTATTTTATACATAGTATTATCGAAAATATATAATAGTAATAATAATAATATTAATAATAATAATGGGAAAATGCCTAGAGATATTGGCAAGGAATGTTTAATAAGTAAAAAATCTCGATATATTTATCATTTACAAAATATAAATTTGAGACGAGAAGTGTGTAGGTATAGGAGAAAAAGAAAAAAGGGGAAGAAGTTGAAGAAGAAGAAGAAGAAGAAGAGGAAGAAGAAGAAGAAGAAGAAGAAAACGAATTAGAGTGGAAAATATATAGACAACTTTTTTTATTTGGATACACACCTGTATTATATCTAACGCTTGCACGCTTCGTCGAATTTCAAAAGGGAGGGAGAAAGGTTATATAATAGAATGGAATAAGTGTCGATGAAAAAGAAAAAAAAAAAAAAAGGGAAATAGGAAAAAAAACCGGACGACATTTAAACTTCAAGTTCGTTGAATGAACTTTTGCGAAAAAGTAGCTGCAATGGGTTAACACCACACACACACACACACATACAGAGAGCTACCGAGAAGAGATTATATATGTATTTACATTTTATTTCTTTTTTTCTGTCTATATATATTTTTTTTTTTACCTCATTTTATTTATTTTCTAAAAGAGAAAAGGGGGGGTGAAAAATCTTGCTGTGTACTTAGCAGTTGTTCGCGTCCAAAAAAGGAAAAAGGAAAATATAATAATAATAATAAGAAGAAGAAGAAGAAAAAGAAGAAGATGAAGGAAAATTGTCGAAGAAGAGCAACGAGTAGAGCAACTCGTAGCATCCCGTAATATCGTTTTTCGAGGACGCTATAGATCTCTTTTCTACGAAGTTGAAATTCCGGTGCTCCACGCCCTGCATAACGGCAGAACGCGAGTCGATTCAAAGTGCAGTCACCTTTCTCAGGCAGGGTGACCGTGGAATTCCACTGGGTACACTCGAGCGGAAAAATAATCTCGTTCCGCAAAGTACATCTTTCTACTACTAGCTTCAGTTGCACCAGCTCAATTTTTCTCTTTCTCTCTCTCACTCACTCACTCACTTACTCACTCATTCATTCTTTTCGTCTATCTTTCATCATCCTTCTTTTTCTTTTTCTTTCTTGTGTATACCAGTAAAGTATTCGCGTTCCTGTACCACCCTTTCCATCTTTCTGTCTCTCTCTCTCTTTCTGTTCTTAACGATTGCCGTGCTTGAAAACTAACTAACTTAAAGTCAACCGCACCCGGTGCATTTTAATACAGGTCGAGAACTCGTCACGGTACGCTTCCACGAAAACTCCTACCTTTTCTAAAGAACAAGGACACGAACAGACGATGCATCGAGGATCATTGGATCTTCCAAGAAGTCCTCTTTACGAGTCCTTCCAACCTCGCTAAACTTCCAACGAGTAAATTCGAAACTTGACAAATTTCTACCACTTTCTCTGTAATCTTACAAAGCGCCAGATTTGCTTTGGCTTATCAATGAACTATGATATGTGTGTATGTGTATGTGTGTATGTATGAGTATGCATGTATTCATGTATATTTGTCCTGTACGAATATTTGTGTCTTACAAGTATCGTAATTTTGAGAAAGTTTTCTTTTCATTTACTTCTTGCCAAATTTTTATTCAAGATCTGTTTTGATCTTTTAATTGATGGTTTGTTACTTTTCTTTATTATTATTTATTTTTTCTTTCTTTCTTTTAACACGCTTAGGATTAATACAAATTCTTTTATATTATTGATATGATTCGAGAAAAGGATCGATCAAATCATCGTTTATGTCTTTCGTTCGGTTACAATTTCAACGCAATATTATTTAAAATAAGACGAATCATAAATACACGCGTGTACCACTAAACAATATTCGAGGTATCTTTGCGGATAGAATTTTTTCGAAAAAAAAAAAACAAAAAAAGAAAAAATAATCGAGCACTTCAAAAAGAAAAGAGAAGTTATCGTAATTGAATAAAATTCGAATAGCGAGCGTGTTTTCACCGTTCCAGACAATTCTCCATCATTTTGATAAATATCCCTTCATCTTCTGTTCCTCCAATTTATCTTATTTATCAATTTTCCTTTTCCAAACTTGATTTTGATCAAGGAACAGAATATAAAATATTGGATACACCGGATATTTTCTACCACTTTATTCTTTCTTTTCTTTTTCTTTTTTTTAATTTTAGATTAACTTTCGACAAAAAACGTATCCAAAGTTAAAAAGAAGAAAATGAAACAAAAAGAAAAAAAATGAAGAAAAAAGAGAAAAACCTTCATCTTGAATACTAGCTTTACTATCATTCTCCGTCATACTTCTGTACATTGGTGTTTTTATTTAGAAAATAATTCGACCGTTTAGAATATATTACATACATATATTCTAAATGTGAATATGACCCACCGTCATATATATATATATATGTATATGTATATGTGTATATTTATACGTATGTATATAATTGCGATGCGTTATAGTAGGGAAAAGGGATGATCTTCCCTCTTTTTGTCCCTTTTTTTGTTATTTTTATGATACAGACGTCAATCCTACGTAAATAGAAGGCAAAACGCGAAGGAAAACGCATTTTGACACTATTATCGAGACCCTAAACGCTATACTAAAGAGACACGCATGTTGAGTTAACGATTAAGATGTTTTATCTCTTTCTTTCTCTCGCTTTTTTCTTTCATTCTGTCTCTATATCTTTTTTCTCTCGTTAGTTACGTTCTCCTCGTCGAAGCATCGATCTATCGATCGTTTTCTTCCCTTCCTATGGTCCACGTAACGGTAGCCATTTTTTCGTACCCACTCCACTCGTTAAAAGTAGTTTCGAATATTCGACATTTTTCAGTTATCGAACTTTAAGTTCCAAAGTTAGGATCTTCTGATCGACCAACTGTTACGGTAATCGATAACACACACACATACACCCACACATACACAAGTACGCACACGTAGTAGACTTGTCTGTCATTCATAATCAAGGTCGACGCGCTTTTTTTGTTGAATGTTAATATTTGAAAGAAGAATAAGACTTCCTCCCTCTATTTGTAATCGAAGAATTAACGTTAGATTTTTATTTAATTTTCTTTTTTTTTTTCCTTTTTTCTTTTTTTTCTTTTTTCTTTACGGTATTAGATTTACTTTGCGAGTTCTCGTAGATATTGATAAAAGGGCAGTTATGCGGTATTACAATCCCAATAAGTTTCTCTCTTTCGTTATGCTTTTGTTTAAGACGAATGTTGGAGAGAAAGGGTTCTAAGGGGGGTTTCCCTGGCACTCCCATCATCCATGAAACTCAAGGTATCTCTGACGTTGGAAACGTTTCCCATAGTTATGTATGACCGTCAAGATCGCGTCTCTCGCGCATCAAGGCAACAACGAAGCAGAACTCGAGATATTCTCAAGCAGCAGTTAAGCCAGCCTATCGTCGTTGATCCTTCTTATCTTGTTCGGCCGAATGGAAAAGTTTAAATATGTGTAATCGGCTAGTCGTACGTTGGCAGTTTGATTTTAGACGGTCGAACGATGTCGCATTAAGGGATTTCGAATATAACTCGTCGTTGTTGGTTGGTTGGTTTACGCTCGATAAGTTCCTATACCGGCTATATCGAGACCATCGTGAAGTTCCATCTCGAGTTGTGCCTCACGATGTTTGTCGGCACGAACACCTCCACCTCCCCCGCCATCCCTCTCGCGATTCCTCTCGCGTGTCGAGGATCTGTCCTTGTCGCGCTCACGGGGATAGTGATGATAGTGATGAGCTCCGTGTCCGTTAACGGGCAGCGTCGGATAAGAGGATTGGGAGCAACTGGATTGGTGCCTCGAGGGTAGAGGCGGGGGTGGATGGTGTCCGGGTATTCCGTTCTGAATCCTCGACTCGCCGTGCATCCTATCGATGCAATCGTTACCCCTCGACGGCAGCTGAGGCGGCTGAGGCGTACGACGCAACGAGAGATTGGAATAATGCGATCTACCGGTGCTGCCAGTACTAGCACCGTTATTACCACTGCCGGAAGCACCAGGAACGGTAGAACCGCTTCCGGCGACGTTTCCACGATCATCACCGCCTGTGGTACCGTTCAAGGACGATGAGCTCTCCTCCGCCGACATTCCACCTGGTCCACCATTTCCGCCTCCACCCCCGCCCCCGCCCCCGCCGCTGGTGCTTCCTCCACTGGAGCGATGATGATGGCCGCTCGACGCGGGCAGCGTTCCCGGACGACGCATTTGACGCGCCGTCTCCCCGTCGATGTAGGTGAAGCCCTCGGCGAGTGTGGTACTACCGTGGGGCAAGAACCAAACACCTCCGGTGCCGGGGCTCGCCGCCCGAAGTTCTAGCTACAGTTCCGTCACCGGTATTGGCTTCGTCCCCACCGCCATTTGCCCGTGCTGCTGTTGTTGCTGTTGCTGCTGTTGCAGCTGGTGCTGTTGCTGTTGCTGCTGTTGTAGATGATGGTGCTGATGATGAGGCGGGATCGCTTGATTTTGCGTCGGGTGATGATGATAATGATGATGAGCGTGCGCCGATCTTACGATATACTCGTCCTCGGAATAAGTCTTTTGATATACGTGCTCCTTCCTCGAAATACCGCGGTTCTTCCATTTGTAATCTTTCAAAGCATCCCTGACGCGTCGGCGACATCTGTAATACAATATCAGTGCTAGACCGGTAAGTAGGGCGAGACCACCCGCGCAGAGAGTCGCCAAGAGTGCCTGTTTGCGTGGATCCGAAAAGGCACAACCCAATTCGTCCGGCGTCATACCCTTGATCGATTTTCCTTTAGATCCGGCCTGCTCCGGACATATTACCGGACTAGAGTTTCGCGGTACGAGCACCTCGGCCAACCACAACAGACTACAGTCGCATAAGATCGGATTCTCGCTGAGATCTAATCTGCGTAGCTCGTTCCAAGCCACCAGAGATTCGGAAAAGCTCGTGAACGCGTTATCTCGTAACATTAGGTGTCTTAGATTCGGCAATCCTGCCAAGGAACCGTCCTCCATCGTAGCTAAACGTTTGTTGCTGTTCAACACAAGGGTCTCCAAATTGGCATTGTCCGAGAAAGCGCCGCGTTCGACAGTGGTCAAGAGCTTCGAGCCGGAGATGTCGAGCTTCTTAAGTTTCGAAAGACCCTGAAACGCTCCCGATCTCAGAATGGTAAAGAAGTTTTGACCCAGAGTAAGCTCCTCTATCCGTGGTAGCACCGCGAGTTGCTTTGTTGGTACTTCGCGCAACTTGTTCCCGCTGAGTTTCAAAGTACGTAAAGCGTTAAGACCTCGGAAAGCACCGTCGCTGATGTTGTCCAGACCGGCACTCATCACGTCCAAAATGGTCAGTTGTTCCAAACCTTTGAAAGCATCGTCTGGCAAAGTAGAAAGCGCGTTCCAACCAATGTGAAGCTCGGCAAGAGCGTTCAATGGGGCCAAAGCTGACGACGGTATTGTTTTTAGTTGATTATCGTCGAGATAGAGAACCCTGAGAGTGCCGAGCTTTTGAAAGGCGTTCGGCTCGAGTTTCGAGATTCGATTCTGACCAAGATCGAGTTCCTCCAACTTTTGTAGAGACACGAACAACCCGTTCGTCAGACTTTCGAGGTAATTGTCTCGCATATTCAGCACCGTCAACGATTTCAATCCTTGAAATGTCTTTTCCGTTAAAGCCGAGATCTTATTGTGCCTCAGATGCAACTCGACCACTTGTTTCTGTGCCTCGAAGCTACCGTCTGGAATGTTGAACAGATGATTGCTCGATAAATCGATGTTCTTCAGATCGCCGTAAAATTGAAATACGGCAGCCTCTACGGTCTTTATTTTATTATCCTTCAATACCAATCTTTGTATACTCGGGTTCAATGCGATCGGTATTACTTCCAAGCTAGCACCTACGCAGGATACTACTAAGGTATCGTCGTCGCAAGTGCAACCGATCGGACAAAATCCAGCGTTGCTCAAAACGATCAAGCAGGCCAATAGAAGAAAACGTAATCCATTCTTCCCGCTAGTGCTGCTTCCTCTGTTGCTGCTGCTGCTGCTGTTCTGGCCGCAAATCTGCAAAAAGAAAAATGAAAAGGAACATTAGTGTTTAACGAAGAGATCCAAAGAGAAACATAAAGAACAGAGAAGGGAAGGTTTGAAAAATGGTAAGAAAAGTGCTACGTCGTGACCACAAGGAAATTAACGGGATTTTGAGGAAGAACTAAGGTTTAACGCGCGTGAGAAGATTTATAAAGATTTACGTTAGGTAGAAAGAAACGATGAGAGTGTCAGAGAGAGAGAGAGAGAGAGAGAGTGTGTGTCGGAGGAGAGGTAGATAAAGAAAAGGGAGAGAAAGAGAGAAACTACGGGAGGTTACGAACGAGAAGTTACGATCTTTAGTTTCCTTCGCGTCTTTTACCGTTGGATAGTTACACGCGCATTATTCCTATCTGCGGAAAGTCCGCTAATCCATCGAGGAAATACGTGGTAGAACGTGCGGATATGTTCATCGTTACTGCGTGTCAGCTGTATTAAAGCTAAAAATGGGCACGTCATTAGGAAGGGATTATACTCTCTCTTTCTCTCTCTTTCTCTCTCTCTCTCTCTCTCTCTCTCTCTCTCTCGGAAATACCGAACTTACTCGTGGATAGGAACTCTTGCTACTACGTTCTGACCCCATTACTCATTTCTCATTTCGGCCGCATTACGTGAGTATTACGAGATTCAGCTACTATTTAATGAGTTTAGGCTATACGACGAGCTTTGATATTATTTATGCGAACCGCGATATACGCCGACCACGTGTCCGATAGCACCACCTAGGAAAATTGTGGCCAAAGGAGGCGCCATGATTCTACATATTGCATCTCACACGCCGTACTACGCGAAACCACAAATTTGTCGGTTTTCCTTTTTTTTTTTTTTTCTTCTCGAACGTGTTTCCTGGAAAAGTTTATCTTAAGAACGTACTACCATGATTTTTAGCCTAAGAACATATTTCTTTTCCAAAACACGAGTAATGGAATTCAATTCGATTATGATAAACGTTGCTGAAATCTACGAGAGTAGATATACAAAAATAAAATTTAACAGAGTGAATGAGTTAGAGATAGGTACAGATAGAGAGAGAGAGAGAGAGAGAGAGAGAGAGAGAGAGAGAGAACGATGGGAAACGGACCGTTTGTGTTCATCGATCCGTAGAATCTCTCGCACCCAATAACTCCATCGTCGTCCAGGTTGTGGGTGCTGACAAGGCCACAAACGTACGTATGTAATACAGTCACATACATACATACCTATACTCGAATCCAAAGAGAGACAGAAACAGATATATATATATATAGAGAGAGAGAGAGAAGAGAAGGTGAAGGAAACGCGATGTGCCGGCTTTTTGTCTTAATTTCACGGCAATGCAAGCGCCTAATTACCGGTAGATAACGCGCTGAGAATACGGCAGACGTCTCGACTTATCGTGCGCACTAATCATAGATGAGAGAGAGAGAGAGAGAGAAAGAGAAAGAGATAAAGGGAGAAGGAGAGGAATAACCCACTTCTATCTCTCTATCTCTATCTCTCTTTCACTCTCTCCCTGTACGTTCGTACAGGGGATAACGTCACGCCCATCCAACGTTTCCGGCCGAATACGTCAGATTTAACTCGATGTAATTAGCGATTACGGATTACCCTTTCGTCCATTAGCATAGACACGATATGTACACTAGATTCGTATTCGTGGAAATACGTTGCCATACATACAAATTATGAACATCTATTTCTCTCTCTCTCTCTCTCTCTCTCTATCTCTATCTCTCTCTATCTCTCTCTATCTCTCTCTTTCTCTTTCTCTCTCTTTAATATATATATATATATATATATATATATTAATATATATGTCTATATATATCTATGGGGCAGAAGGATTCGTATTCTCTTTGGTTCATTTAAATGAAATGAAATTCAGGTTGAATTCGCTAAATTCAAATTCAATTTTGCACGAATGTTCGTTTCCACTTGAAGCTTAATAATCTTTCTCTTTCTCTTTCTTTCTCTCTCTCTCTCTCTCTCTCTCTCTCTCTCTCTCTCTCTTTCTGTCTGTCTACTATCTGTCTGTTTCTTTCTCGTTAAAACTTGTCGTCGTACTGTTTCGGTCGGAGATACGAAACTGTCTCTTAACGATCCCACTTTTCCGTTATCGTTCTGGCTATTTTCAAAACGTGCACGGAGCTTTAATGTTTACCAAATTTTTTTTTCCCTCAACATAAGTCCAAATGGAATCCTCTTTTCTTTATTACGTAAGAAGTTCTTCCCACGAATTAATCTACGAACGAGTAAAAGACATATTTGAGTAGTTAAAAAAGAAAAAGGGGTTACAAAGTAACAAGTTTTTCTTTTTTTTTTAATTTCAGATAAGTGCATAATTACAAACTGGATGTTCTAGTTTTGTTTAAAAAAAAAAAAAGAAAACAGGTTACTTGTACTCCTTTCCTTTTTTCAGCTATTTCATCAGCCACTCATTTGTTTTCTATCCATAAAGAAAATTCTACTAATATTTACCCCATCACATTAGTATCATCATGAATTATTTAAAAATATACGGGGGGGGGGGAGATTTCATAGTTTTCTAGTAAAATAATTTCGTCCTTTTTTTCTTTCTCTCTTTTTCTTTTTATTTTGTTTTGTTTTAAGTTCGATCAATCGATGAGTTTTCAAGAGCGTGGAAAAAGAAATAGGAATATCTAAATTTTTCTTCATTCCTTTTTTTTTTTTTTTTTTTTTTTTTTTTTTTTTTTTTTGTATACGAACGAATCGTCGATGAATTCGAATGATACGTATTTTCGGTTTTATAGATAGCTAGATAGATAGATAGATATGTATGTAGTTACATACATAAATATGTATGTTTGGAAAGTAGTCTAAAAAATATGCCAAGGGATAATTCTGTTTGCTGCGTGTATGCATGATAGAACGAACGCTTGGTAAACGCGTTCCCTCCCGGCGTAAATGTATATCCGATGAAAATGAGAAATTCTCTCTCGACGAATAAGAGAGAAAAGGGGGAGAGAAAGAGAAAGAGAAAGAGAAAGAGATTAGCTCGGGATAACATTTCTCTCTTTCCGCGGTGTTCGCGGCGAATAAAAGGGATCGGGAGTCGTGTTTAATCTGATTAACGCACGGACGATTACCGCCACGCAAACGCGTTGCATTTAAATTCAAAGCTACGATAAGAGCAAAGTCTGTAGAAAGAGAGAAAGAGTAGTATTGTAGGAGGAGGAGGAAGGGGTGGAGGAGGAAAAGAAGGCGTTTAAAAGATGGCGAGAAAGATTTATACACAAACTTTTCTTCAACCCCTTTTTTTTCTACAAATTCTTCTCCAAAGAGAGAACCTTTAAGTATTTGCAATATTTCTTTCTTTGTGTGTTATTTATTTTTTCTTTACAAATAATTCATTCAAGATGTTTTTCTTTCTTTCTTTTTTTCGATAGTAAAGATCGATGAGTGAACGAAGAGAAAGAGAGAGAGAGATAGCAGCTGAAATAAGATCAAAACAAAAGGAATTGTATAATTCAAATTTAGATATTATCTAATGTAAAATAAATATTTGATATTTGTAATCGTATATCACAATGGTTGCCGTAATACCAGTTTACCCTTTGTACCTTATCCACCCTCGATTTAACGCGACTCTGCTACACCCCTTTGAGATCCCTGTTTTAATGTTTCGTTATTTCAATGCCAAATGTCGGTGTGAGAATAAAGAAAAAGAGAGATATCAAAAGCCGATAAAGATAGATAGGGATAGAGATAGAGTGTTGTAACAATACTGAAAGTGATAACAATAAGCTCGAAGGTTAGGGAGAAAACGTGTGTCGTTAGGTTGAAATCAACAATAGGTTGACAGTCATAAATGGTGGAAACGATCGTTCGTTCATTCATCCGTTCGTTCATTCGAATCTCAGTTTACGAATGGAAGAGGGAAATCATTACGTAATCAAAGAGCTGGTTCGTATTCTCGCGTATGGGGGTTTCCCGATTCGTCCGGCAATCGTCGCGTTCAATCATGCACTAACAATATATCGTTCGCGTGCACCTAGAACGTTATTCGCTTTGGACTTCAACAATGATACAGGTTGAGTTGCTCAACGATTGGATAATGATATCCTCCTGTAGTTCGGCAACTAGTCCTGAATTTACGACATAGAAACTCACTTTCTATCTGATTCCATTCGCCTAACTTTACACTATCTTCTAACTATCCCATCCTCATTCTCATCCTCCTCTCTTCCTCATTCTCTTCTTCTTCTTCTTCTGCTTATTTTTCTTCTTTCGTTAGATTATTATCGAGATAGAGAATAAATCAGTGATATCAAACTTATCTACGAATATACATAGATCAATTAATTTAGTTTTAGTATTATATTGGATCGTTTATATATATATATAGTTAATTATTATTAAGTATATTTTTATTATTGTTCGATAAAAAGTTTTGTATTTTTCTTTTTATTTAATATTTAAGTCGGTAGAAAAAAAATTTACGATTATACGCGTGTGCACAATTGTAAATAAAATCATTAATACCTTTGTTAAATATTACTTTTTTAATCGGTAAAATGTGATATAAAATAGATGCACGTGTGTCGTTATGTGCGTATGAAAAAGAAATAAAAAAGAAAAGTCTTCGAAGAGAGAAATTTTTCAAGAATCAAACACACAATAAATAATTCTCTTATATCGCATCGATGCTTCATCATTTTATATTTCGTTTAACATTCTCTCTTTTAAGGTTCCTTCTGTTTCATATCACTGACGTAGACTTTTGTTGATATCCTTTAGAACAATTTCAATCTCTGATATGAGAATTAATCTATAATATAAAGGCATTGTTTCGTAATAAAATTGTAATAAAATTTTGTCAGATAATTATACGAGAGGAGAGGATCGTTTCTGTTAATTTTTTTTTTTTCTCTCTCTTTATTTCATTCGATAAGAAACAAAATTAAAACGAAAATGAAGAAGAAGACGACGTATATATATAATTTAATATTTAAAAAACTCATGGGATCGGAACGGAA